TGGAAATAAGCCAAGTTGCCATCAATAATGAATAGATAGGGACACCTGGATGGTGCAGTAGATAGAATCCGATTCTTGGTTTTAGCTCATGTAATGATCTCAGGATTGTGGGTTCAAGTCCTGCACCAGGCTCCATGCTCACCAAGGAGTCTGATTGATTTTCTCTCTCCCTCTTTCCCTGCCCCCTCTCTCTATATAATAAATATTTAAAAAGTAATGAATAGATAAAATGTGGTAAATATATTCAATAGAATATCATTCAGCCTTGAAAAGGCAGGGAATTCTTTTTATTTTTTATTTTATTTTTTATTTTTGGGAATTCTTTTTAAATTACTTTTTTAAAAGATTTTATTTATTTATTTGAGAGAGGATGCACAAGTGGGCAAGTGGGGGCAGAGGGAGAGTGACAAGTAGACTCCCCACGGAGTGGGGAACCCAGTGTGGGGCTTGATCCCAGGACCTGGGCTGAAGGCTGATGCTTAACCCACTGAGCCACCGAGGCACTACAGAAAAGGAAGGGAATTCTGATACATGCTACAGTATGGTTGAACCTTGAATATATTACACTAAGTGAAATAAGACACAAAAGAACAAATATTGTATGATTCTACTTTTATGAAGTACCTAGAATAGTCAAATTCATATAGACAAAATGATGGTTGCCAGGGATGAGAGAGAGTGGGGAATGGAGAGTTAATGTTTAATGGGTACAGAGTTTCAGTTTGGGGAGATGAAAAAGTTCTGGAGATGGATGTTGGTGATGATTACACAACAGTGTAAATTGATTTAGTGCTGTTGCTACATACTTAAAAAATGATTAAAATGGTCAATTTAATGTAGATTTCATCACAATTTAAAAAGCATACAAACTTGGGATCCCTGGGTGGCGCAGTGGTTTAAAAGGCGCCTGCCTTTGGCCCAGGGCGCGATCCTGGAGACCCGGGATCGAATCCCACGTCGGGCTCCCGGTGCATGGAGCCTGCTTCTCCCTCTGCCTGTGTCTCTGCCTCTCTCTCTCTCTCTCTCTGTGACTATCATAAATAAATAAAGAAAAAATATTAAAAAAAAAGCATACAAACTTAATGAAGATCAGGCCTGGAAATGCCAATGAGAAATTGGAGCTATTAAGTCTGTCCAATTCTTGCACCCTAGTAAGGGAGATTAAGCCAAAAGCAGTTCAGGTTGAAGAAATTTGTGATGGTACGGTAGATGCAGCAGCTTTTTCCCAAATCCAAGTCAGGAAGGGACTGTGATAGAGCCTCCTGGCTTGTGACTGTGATTGTAAAGGAGAGTGAGTAGAATAGCCTTGGTGTAAAGTGACTGTCATGCTCACGTATTGGTGGGGGATGGATTGGGGTTCCCTACCTGAAAGTCAACTAAGACAAAAGCCATAGAAAAAGAACATGCCTGGGGTGCCTGGGTGGCTCAGTCAGTTAAGCGCCTGCCTTTGGTTCAGGTCCTGATCTCAGGGTGCGGGTAGTCTGCTTCTTCCTCTCCCTCAGACCCTCCCTTCCCACTTGTGCACAGCTCATGCACTCTCCTTTCCTCTCTCTCAAGTAAATAAATAAAATCTTTTAAAAGAAGAAAAAAAGCATGTCTGTGTTCACAAATTTCTTTTTCTCTTTCTTTCTCTTTTCTTTTTTTTTCTTTCTTTTTTTCTTTCTTTCTTTCTTTCTTTCTTTCTTTCTTTCTTTCTTTCTTTTCTTTCGTGTTCAGAAATTTCTTAAAGTGGCACCACAAAAAGCTTGGTCTTCATGCTGCAGATAGAAATAGCTCCAAAAGAAGATAGAATTATTTTGTTTAATGGAAAATCTGCCTGACGACTATCAGCTCTTTCTAAATATGTGACCCTCCTCACCTAATAGTCTGGCTTCCCCATCAGGAGGGATTGTCCTGGGTAGATGGCTCTCAAATTGGCCCTATTCTTTGTTGTAGATGAATAAACAGACATTCTGGCTTGTTATTTCTCCTCCTATGAACTTGCTTTTTTTTCTTAAAAAAATCTGAGTAAACAGATACAATTAAGTTCCTGGACTAGCAAAGCAGAGAGCCAACCATGGATCTGTAGTGATACCACCATGACCCCAAACTCCCATGAGGTAATATTCATTTCTGAAATACTTCATTTCCTCTCCCTAGATTATGCCCTCACCTTAAGCTTGATTAGACTCCACAGAGAGATGCAACTCTTGAATCATATTTCGAATCATGTTGAAATATTCTTTGCTGACCTGTGTCACCACAGCCCTTCCTGAAGATTTTCATGATATTTGTCTTTTGTTTGGCCTCTTGAGGCAGTATCCACTGGTCTAAAATTGTGCAGATTAGTGTAGAGGATATATATTTTAAAGTATATGACAAAATTACTACTTTTAAAGTTTTTACCCTCCTGGTCAAGAGAAAAGGCTTGTACACATAAAGGAATGAATGAGCAGTTTAGGAATGTTTATTTTATTTATTTATTTTTATTTTTTAAAAGTATTATTTTTTAAAGATTTTATTTATTTATTCACGAGAGACACAGGCAGAGGGAGAAGCAGACTCCATGCAGAGAGCCCAATGCGGGACTCGACCCTGGGACTCTAGGATCATGCCCTGGGCCAAAGGCAGACGCTCAACCGCTGGGCCAGCTAGGGATCCCTAGGCATGTTTATAATCTAGTTTTCATTTGAACACAGTTAAGTGCCAGTGTCCCAATATAAAGCATAACTATTATAGGGTTTCAGAAGGACAGCAATCATTATGAAATGAACCCATTAGGGAAAATTTTTAAAGATTTTATTCATTGGGGGACGCCTAGGTGGCTCAGTGGTTGAGCGTCTTGCCTTCGACTCAGGGCCTGATCCCAGGGTCCTAGGATCGAGTCCCACGTCGGGCTCCCTGCATGGAGCCTGCTTCTCCCTCTGCCTGTGTCTCTGCCTCTCTGTCTCTCATGAATAAATAAAATCTTTAAAAAAAAACAGATTTTATTCATTGGGACATTGTGGGGCTCAGCGGTTGAGCATCTATCTTCTGTTCAGGGCATGGTCCTGGGTCCGGGGATCGAGTCCCTCATCGGGCTTCTTGCAAGGAGCCTGCTTCTCCCTTTGTCTGTGTCTATGCCTCTCTCGGTGTGTGTCTCATGAATAAATGAATAAAATATCTATTCATAAACACACCTAGAGGCAAAGACATAGGCAGAGGGAGAAGCAGGCTCCCTGCCGGGAGCCCCATGTGGACTCCATCCCAGGACCCTGGGATCACGACCTAAGCCAAAGGCAGAAGCTCAACACTTGAACCACCCACGTGCCCTCAGTAGGGAAAATTTTAAAGGAAAATGGGATTTAAGGTGTATTCAGAATAGGTGTAGTCAATTTATCAATTAGGACTTATTGGTTGCAAGTGGTAGAAACCCAACTCAGATTAATTTAGGTAAAATGAATTTATTGGTGCTTAGAAATCAGGGAAAGGCTAAATGGCCAACCCATGGAAAGATCATAGAAGCAGCTGAGCCTCAGAAACAACTGAAACTGGCAATATAAATGCTGCATGAGACTTCTTTTATCTCCCATTACTGTTTCTCTCTGCACCTTGATTTTATTTTCTCTTGCTTCAAATCATTTTCCTTCACAGTATTACCAGCCAGCTCCTGAGTGGAAATAGACACACTGTTGTGTCCAGAGGAGGGCAATCAATAGACTGAATGTCAGTTTGTATAAGGCAATAGCTATGGAGGTATTACTGGGTTTGGAGGGAAGGAGTGAAAGCTCAGACAACAGAACTCAGCATTTAGGGTCCGTGAGAAGAGGTTTAAGAAAAGGTTTTAAGGGGGGGGGGCTCTGGGGAGCTCAGTCTGCTTCTCCCTCTGTCCCCTCCCCTGCCCCCACTCATTCTCTCAAATAAGATCTTAAGAATAAGTATACCTTCTTTGGAAAAAGAAAAAAGGTTTTAAGGCAAGGATCTCCAGTTTAGAAGGATGTGGGCATTTACAGAAACAGGGACTATAAGAGGAGTTAGTGCAGGTAAACTTGATACATTCAGTTTTAGACATAGAGCATTTGAGATGCCAGTGGTGTATCCCTCAGCTGGAACTGCTATCAAGAAAGGTTGGAAATATATGCTGGGATTTAGGGAAGGAGATAAAATTGTATAGAACTCCTATTTGAAACAAGAAACGAGGAAGGCACAAACTGGGCTTTGGAGACAACCCACATTTCAGGTCGTAGAGTCAGTGGAGGAGGCAGCTGGGAGAAGGCTGGAGACGGTAAGAAAGAGAACCGGGCAAGTGTAGGATCCAGAAAAGTCAAAGGCAGAATTTCAAGAAAGAAGAGGTGGTGGCATGGAAACAAGCGGTGGAGAAACTTGGAAATGCCAGTGTCTTTCCGAACCTTGGAGAAGAAGGGAGTTAGCTGCCAGGGGCTACAATTCATTCACATGGTAGCTGAGAGCTTAATTCCTACTCTTAGGAGGGAACAGCGCGGTTCTGGACGCGAGAAGCTCACCGCGTGGCAGAGGAAGTGAGAAGCGAACGAACACTTCAGATACAGCGTTGCAAGTGCTTAAACAGAGGTGTGCGTAAGATCCCGCAGAAGTCGCCCCGCCGGGCGGGAGGCCGGGAGGCCGGGAGGGCCGGTTTGCTTCCAGGGGCCGGGTGGTCTCCCGAGGTTCCGCGGGGGCCAGTCCAGGGGGTCGGGTCCTCTGAGGCGGTTGCGGGGAGCGACGGCCCCCGGGGACCCCGGAGCCCGAGGTCCCAAGGACGTTAGCAGTATCTAGGTCCTATTTGAAACATGCGAGGTGGAGTTTGCAGCCTGAGGGAGGGATGCAGAAAGAGAAGAGCTTCATCTAAATTCTCCCTCCTGCTTTCTCAGAGCAGAAACGATCAGGAAGGGGTCGTAGCCGAGGCTTTTGCCATCGGCGTCGCAAAAGCCTCAATTCGCCGGACTCTGGGAACCTTGTCACTCTTCTCCCGCCTGTATGTCGGCGGAACGCTAGTGCCGTAAGGCCTGGTTCGGCCGGACTGGAAAAGCAGATGGACCTGCACGAGGAACGTGGCGTACCCGGCCGGGGAAAGTGGAGGACCGGGAGGAAGCCAGTGTGGGGCGCCGGCGGCGGAGACCGGCTGTGGGCGCGCCGGGGTCTCGGGGGCAGCACAGCCCTAGCAGGTGAGGGCCAAGGGGGTCACCTCGCCGCGGCAGACCGCCCGGGCCGCTCCCCCGAGTCGAACCGGGAGTTAAACACCGGGGCCGGGAGCCGGTTTTGCCTCTTACAGCTGTGTGACCTCCGGTAATGTATCCTTGGACCCCCTGTTCCTTGCCTCTGATCGCCTCTCCCACGGCTGCTGTGAGGAGCCGGCGAGCTGTACCTAGAGCGCTGTGGGCGCCTCGTAGGCCCTGCGTGTACAACCTCGACGGAGGCTGCGCTCTTCGCTCCGGGTTACGTTGCGGTCAGACTTGGCCTACCTCGGCCCCGCGTTTTACTTTATGGTTATTGGAAAAACTACGAAACCTATTATATTTGTTGAGTCTTAGAGAAGTAACAGCTTTACTGAGGGCTTGGAAAATACTCTGAATATATTACTCATAATTCCATCAGTCTATATACACGACTTTAAGCTTTTTTCTCCCTTACATCTTTTTTTTGGTACACATTGATGCTTGTAATATTAGTATATATGCAATTTTGATTCCTTATTTGCCACGTAGTAGTGTAGCCTACAAATGGGGCTCACGAGAATCCCTTTTTTTTTTTAAGATTTTTTTTACAAGATTTTATTTATTCATGAGAGACACAGAGAGGGAGAGACACAGGCAGAGGGAGAAGCAGGCTCCGTGCAGGGAGCCGGATGTGGAACTCCATCCCCGGACTCCAGGAACACGCCCTGGGCTGAAGGCGGCGCTAAATCGCTGAGCCACCCAGAGAACCCCAACCCAAATTCCTTTATATGTAGAAGTAAAGCTACTAAGCACAATCAGCGAGGGAAATTGAAATATTACCTATGATTCCAGGACCTCAGTTCAACTGTTTTTAATTTTCCTGCCCTTCTATGTTTTTTTTTTTTTTTTTAGGATTCATTCATTCATTCATTCATTCATTCATTCATGAGAGACACACAGAGGCAGAGACACAGGCAGAGGGAGAAGCAGGCTCCATGCAGGGAGCCCGATGTGGGACTCGATCCTGGGTCTCCAGGACCACGCTCTGGGTTGAAGGCAAGCACTAAACCGCTGAGCCACCCAGGGCTCCTCTCCCTGCTTCTTTTCTTTCTTTCTTTCTTTCTTTCTTTTTTTTTTTTTGATGTTTTATTTGAGAGAGCAGAGAATACAAGGAGTGAGAAGCAGAGGAGAGGGAGAAACAGACTGCCTGCTGAGCAGGGTGCTTGATATGGTGCTTGATCCCGGGACCTCGAGATCATGATTTGAGCCCAAGACAGATGCTTAACCAACTGAGCCACCCAGGCGCCCATATTTTTTTTTTTTTTTTAAGATTTTATTAGAATGAGCATGGAATCAGGGACGGGGGAGGAGAGAGGAGGAGGAGACTCTGGCTGAGCAAGGAACCTGTTGTAGGGGTGGTGGCTGCAAGCCTGGAGTACAGTAATTGAGAAAAGAGAGAGTGGTGATCTAATGTGGGGAGTGAGGGAGGAGAGGCATTCTAGAAGGCTGACCACCTTTGTGTTGTAGTTTAGTGGTCTGGGTGCCATTTTGATGTGGACTCTTGGGCAATTGAAGCAGGTGAGCCAATTGTATTGTAGGATTTTGGCATGTTTGAGGCTTTCTGTTTTTCTTTTCAGTGTCCTCTTTAGTCATTTAGCGCCATGTTCTGACTAGTGGGTGAATTTTTGTATTTCTTCTCTCCTGGTCTTTGGGCCAAGACAGGAGGAAGACAGAGAACTTGACATTGCATATTTTATTCCTTTTAGGGGTAGATGGAGTAAGTAGGAAAGATGACTATTTAGCCAAAGTTGTTATTTTATTAGAGCTATAGAATTTATATTTCTGATATTTTACGTGTAGAAGCAGGAGCATGTAGTAGAAGGACTTCAGGCTAGGGTTCTAGTTCTAGCCTCCATAGTGATTAGTATTGTGAGCTTAGGCAAGTCACTTCACCTGTTGTTGTCTTAGCTTATGAGATAATACATGTCAGGTGGTTTGAAGATAATCAAAATAGTATTTAAATGTGGTATTAGTGTTAATGTTGTTTAGGTTCTATCTTTGTGGATCTTGGACTAGCAGCTTGTTAGAAATGAAGAATCATGGGGATTTTATCAGACTTGATCAGAGAATGCTCTTAGAGCTGTCATTCCATCTGATCTTCAGAAGAATCCTTTAAGGTAGGTAGAGGAGTTAACAGAGCCTTACCCCCAAGGAAATGGAGACTTCAGAAGATCAGTAGCTTTACCTGAGGATAAAGAGCTTGACTAGGTTTAGCAGTCTGAAATTGCCAGTATTCAATATACTCATAACCTAATAAGTGGGCACGTTTTCTGACTCCACATACAATACACACTCTAGTTCCTCTTTTTATAGATGAAGTCCTAAAGTGTTGTCAGCTTAGATCTGGAGCGAATTAGTTGAATATTCTATTTTAGGAATCACTGATTTCTTTAAAAATCCAGCATCAGGGGTGCCTGCATGGCTCACTTGGTTAAGCATCTGCCTTCAGCTAAGGTCATGATCCCGGGGTCCTGGAGTCAAGTCCTGCATCAGGCTCCCTGCCAAGCCTGCTTCTCCCTCTCCCCTCTGTTCATGCTGTCTGTCTGTCTGTCTGTCTCTCTCAAAGAAAATCTTTTTTTTTTTTTTGAAAATCTTAAAAAAAAAATCCAGCATAAAAATTTGCTTTAAGATTGACACAACCTTATGAAGTGCATAACTGAATTGTTTTGGGGTCAATAATTAACTCCGTAAAGGGGGTCTTTGTTTTTTTGCCTGTTGGTGTTTTTTCACAAGGCAGTGGGATGCTTCACGTACAGCACAAACAATATTCTGCTCATAATAGGCTCTGGGTAAATGTTTACAGAATTAGAAAATAAGTTGCTGAATTTCACAGCGCAATCTGTGTTGCATTTGAAATTGTGATGCATTCATTGCTACCCTCGTAACTGTTCAATGTCTTTTCTGTTCTAGGTGCAATTGGGGTGTTAGAAGCTTCTTTCCATTATAGCCCAGGGAGAAATTTACATTTGGACTTTATCGTACCATGGCTTTGGTTCTCAAATTTCTGAATGGTACTTATATTTTCAGAAAATGCCCAAAGCCAAATGTTGCCTCATGTCCATTTTTGGGTACTCATTTTGTAGACTATTGTTCTAGTAGTCTTCAGAAGCCTGTGGCTGCTCCTGGCAAAACCTCCTCTCAGAGGAATTCTGAAGGAGATTTGCAGGGACATCACCAGAGAGAAGTTGCTTTGGATATAACCTCTCCTGAGGAGAAGCCTTTAATTAGTTTTGATAAAGCAATTAAAGATGAAATAAAGGACCAGTTGAGGCGTTTGAAGGATGATATTGTGAATCATTGGATAGGCCCTGAAGGCCGCCCTCTGCATGAGGTCTTGTTGGAACAAGCCAAGGTTGTCTGGCAGTTTCGAGGAAAAGAAGATTTAGATAAGTGGATGGTGACTTCTGATAAGACTATTGGAGGCAGAAGTGAAGTGTTCCTGAAAATGGGCAGGAATAATCAGAGTGCATTGCTGTATGGGACTCTGAGCTCTGAGGCACCTAAGGACGGGGAAAGTGGCCGCAGTGGGTACTGTGCAATGATATCCAGGATTCCAAGGGTAAGTGAAGCCCCAGAGCCTGTTTTCTAGTGAACTGGGGTGAATTTCATTGTAGCATGAACCGTAGCATATGGGTTTTGTTTCTGTAAATCAACACTCCTGGCAGGTCATTTGTGAATGGGGTTAAGTAACTACTGGGCACATGTGTAAAGCAGAAGCATAAAGGGGAAGTGGTTCCTGAGAACCAGAATGGGGCCGTTCTTATGTTTGAGGAGCCCTGAGAAGTCAGACATTTAAACAGTTGATTTGGGGAGATTTCTCTAGTAGGCCACACACCCTGTGATGGCCAGAGGTTCCTTAGAGTAGATGTAGGTTCAGCCTGTTGCTTTTTTTTTTTTTCTTAAAAGTAAACTTTTTATTTTAGAATAGTTTTAGTTTTACAGAAGAATTGTACAGATAGTACAGAAAGTTCCATATGCCCCTCATTCATCTTCTCCAACTCTTGCCACCTTACATTGATGTAATACATTTGTCACAACTGAGAAACCAACATTGGCGCATTCCTCTTAATTCCAGACACTATTTGGATTTCACTAGTTTTTCTGCTTAAGCCCATCTGGGACACCACATTACATCCAGTTGTCATGTTTCCTTAGGCACCTTAGTCTCCTGGTCTGTGATAGCTTTTTAGTTTTTCCTTAGTTTTCATGAGGATTGAGAAATTCTAGTCTGGTATTTTGTGGACTGACCCTCAATTTGGGATTTTCTGATGTTTTTCTCCCTGTAAGACTGGGTTTCTGGGTTTTTAGATAGAATACCACAGAGTTGAAATACCCTTCTCATCACTCCTATTGGGTACATGCTACCAGCATGACTTAACACGAATGTGTTCGCCGTGATCACCTGGCCAAGATAGTGTTTGCCAGGGTACTCCATTGTTAAGTTACTTTTTTCCCCCTTCTTTTCATACTTTGTTCTGTAGAAGCAAGTCAGTAAGTGCATCCTACATTCAAGGCATGGGGTAGGGCATGGGATTAAGTTGTATCTTAATCCCAGGGTGGAATTTACATAATTTATTTGGGATTCTTCAAAGAGGAAAATTTTTTTCTCCCACATTTTTTATTTAGTTAGACTGTCATTTTGTATGGACTCAAAAATCTGGTTATAATCCAATACTAGGTTTTTTATTTTGCTCAGATTCTTCCAGCTTTGGCAATTGGCAGCTCTTTCAGGTTGGCTTTTGTCCCTTTGACATGCCTCCATTTTTTTGTTTGTTTGTTTTTTAGTACTTTCTTGCACTACAAGATCTGCTCTAAGCACATCTTGTATTTTATGTAGAAAATTCCATAGAATTAGCCATTTCTTGAAAAAGCCCTGATTCTTCTTTTTGGAGATCTAGGCACTGGTTTGTTTGTTGCTACTGGGTTGACATTACCTCCAGGACCTCTCAGTGGCCTCAGCAGGAAATACAGGGATGTGTACCAACCCTTTGGAAACATGTCTCTAATTGTTTCTATATCTGTAGTAAACTAAATATGAGTTTATACTGTGCTCGAACTCTAATCCAGTAGTACCATGTGGTTCATTCTGGGCTTCTCCCTCTTATCTATAATTTTCCTCTCTGATAGTGAGAAACCTGTCTCCTATCACTTGCCATCATTTTATCTATTGATTCATCCCCAGTGTATGTAGAAAGCAGTTTCAGAACTTTTAGCCCATAACTCTGTGAGAAACCATTTTACCAACCAGAATATAGTGTTTATATATAGTTTCTTTTGTCTTTAGCCTTATAGTTTCTAATCAGAGCAGTTTTCCACTTAGATTGGCTTCTTTGTCTCATCATCAACTTACGTCTTTTTGCAAATTTGCTGATGAGGTGTTGTTCCAGGGCTGCCTGGACAGGCTTCCATGCCTGGCCTTGGCCACAGCCCTGGGGTATTTGCTTGGGCATTGTGCTTTACAGAGAAAGGCAAATGATAGGGATGGTCTTAGGCTCCCTCCTTCCAGATGAGAAAGAAAGGTATGTGTTCTTTCAGAGACCTGTGCGTACAAAGGGTGTGTGTGTTTGTGTTTCAGTGCCTGAAATCCACAGAATGGATTGGTCATTCCACAGTAGAAAATACTTCTATAGCTAGATACACCTGGGGGGTATTGCAAATAGGTGATAAAATTTATTTAGTGTGCTCTGCCAGTCCTTGTGCTACTTCATATACATTTACGTATATACATCCCTTTAATTCCTCACAACTATCCTCTAAGGTATGGTCATCCTTATTTTACAGATGAGGAAACTGAGGCTTTGGGAGATTTAGTAACGACTAAGGTTATACAGCTAGTTGAGGCACCTAGGTGGCTCAGTTGGTAGAGCAGTGGACTCTTGGTTTCGTCTCAGATTATAAGGGTGAAGTTGGCCTGTCTTCCTCTGTCCCCCTTTCCTCTTCTTCCCTCTCGTCCCACTCACGTGTATGGTGTGTGCAGACTTTCTCTCTTTAAAAAAAAATTTAAAAAGACAGCTAGTAAATAATAGTTCATATGTGAGTATTCTTGAAATCAGATTATTTTTGCGATTGGTCTAAACAAACACCTTTGTTAATTAATACTACAATTCACTTTTCCTGAGACAGTATGGATAGTTCTTAAGAATACAAATTTTGGGGCAGCCCCAGTGGCACAGTGGTTTAGCGCTGCCTGCAGCCCAGGGCGTGATCCTGGAGACCCGGGATCGAGTCCCGCATCGGGCTCCCTGCATGGAGCCCGCTTCTCCCTCTGCCTGTGTCTCTGCCTCTGTCTCCCTTTGTGTGTGTGTGTGTGTGTGTGTGTGTGTGTGTGTGTGTGTGTGTGTCTATGAATAAAAAAAAATACAGATTTTGGAGTTAAATGGCACTGGATCTACCACTGCCTAGTTGAGTGCTCAGTTTCTTCATCTGTAAGATGGAGCACAATGAAAGTATCTCATAGGGCTGTGAAGATGAAATTATGCCTGTTCAGTGCTTAAGGTAAGTTTTCAGTGGGTGTTATAAAATAGCAGGTTTTTTTTTAAAGATTTATTTATTTATTCATTCATTCATTCATTCATTCATTCATTCATGATAGACCTAGAGAGAGAGCGAGAGAGAGAGAGAGAGAGAGAGAGAGAGAGAGAGAGAGAGAGGCAGAAACACAGGCAGAGGGAGAAGCAGGCTCCATGCCGGGAGCCCTACACAGGACTCAATCCCGGGACTCCAGGATCGCGCCCTGGGCCAAAGGCACGCGCCAACTGCTGAGCCACCCAGGGATCCCCCAGTTTTTTTTTTTTTTTTTTAAGATTTTATTTGTGAGAGAGAGTGAGAGAGTGCACAGGGGGAGGGGCAGAAGGAGGGAGAGAAGGGGACGCTCCTGCTGAGTAGGGAGCCCAACTTGGGGCTTGATCCTAGGACCCTGGGATCATGACCTGAGCTGAAGGCAGACACTTAACTGGCTGAGCCCCCCAGGTGCCCCTAAAATAGCAGTTTTAAAACTTGAGCTCTTTCATAGTTTTCTGATTTCTGGGAAGGCAGCTGTCATGCCCACTCATGTTCCATAGGATGGGGGAAAAAAGGTACATACAGTAATTCATTTTCATTCATTGATACAAGTGAGTGCCTACTACACATCAATACTGTCCTGGGCCAATCATGTCTTGAACATTACCTTAGAAACATAAAACTGTGTCAGTATTTTGTATTAAAATAAGAGTCACCAGATATATCTGCCTTCTTGTGGTAGAAAGCCAAAAAGACAGAAAAATGCCTAGTGGATCCTTTTGATGCTGCAAAAAGATGTTGACTCACATTTTGCTAATAGTGGAAAATGAAATGAAATTAATTTTCCTTTCTGTACCTTAGGGCCCTTTTGAGAGAAAGAGGGCTTATGATTGGTCCCAGTTCAACACTCTGTATCTCCGTGTACGTGGAGATGGTCGGCCTTGGATGGTGAATATCCGAGAGGACACGGATATAATGCAAAGGAAGAATCAGATGTACAGTTACTTCATGTTCACCCGTGGGGGTCCCTACTGGCAGGAGGTCAAGGTAACAGCACAAGTCTTTACTGTGAATGAAAATGAAGACTTTTGAGATCATGGTTATTCTGTAGTTTGGTTCCTTTGTTTTCCTTATTAATCCCTCTTGGAAGGTGTGGAAAGGGAAAGAAGGAAGATGACTTAGGGGTGAGATTTATATAATTGAGTTTTTCTTTCCTTAATATAAATGTTAGTTTCCTAACCAGTAAATACTTTTGATAAGGCTGTGGCCTGGTCCATGCTAAGTCACGGGTACATCTCTGCTCTGGGCGAAGTAGATGTTTAAGTTTCTGCCGTATCCCCTCTTCCAGGCAACTCTACTAAGCTAGTACTCCTAGCCTAGTAGAAAAGCTCCCTTAAGAGCAATAAATACTTCATATTTTACAATCATGAAATTTTAATTTACTTCTTGGTAATATAATACTTTGTGAGAAGAAGCTTTGAGAAGTTAATATATATATATATATATATACGTATATATATGTATATATATATACATATATATACGTATATATATATATATACACATATGTATATATATATACACACACACACACACACACACACACACACACACACATAAACCTGGAGGAAAATAAGTAGAAATTCAGGAAATGAATTTCAACTGCCCATTCTTTTTTTCTGCCTACTGAAGGTTTTTAATCCATAAGATCAAAGGAAAGTCCTCATTTTGCTTATAGTTAAACCTGTGGGTCATTCTGGATTCCCTTCTCCCTCATCCCACAAATAGCCTGTTAACAAATCCTGTCACCTATACTTCTGAAATACACCCAGAGTCTGACCATTTCTGTCTCTCCCACTGTCACCCTAGTCCAGGCCTTTGGATTACTACAGCGGCTTCTTTATTGACTTCCTTTGTTCTCTTGCCTCCTAAAATCCACTCTCTGTACAGCAGTCAGAGATGATCTAATGCATAGTGCAGATTACAGCACTCACATGCTTAAAACCCTCCAGTGGCTTCCCCTTACAAGTAGAATAAAGCCCAAACTCCTCAATACGGCCTGCTGCGACTACAGTATCAGACCTCTGTCTTTATCCTCCGTCTCCCCGCCTCCCTCCCTCCTCCATACTGGCCCCTTTTCTGTGTATCATACCTAACAAGCTCACCTCCATCTCAGAGCCTTTGTGCTTCGTATTGTATCCGCTGGTGTGTGTGCTTGTATCTTCACCTGCTTCCTCTCCTCTTTCCTGTCATTCACCCCTCAGCTCAAAATTTACCTCAGAGAGGCCTGACCCCTGTAGCTAGAGTTACACCTCTAACCCAGTCACTTTGAGTAACATTACCCTGTTTCTTTTTTTTAAGACTTACTTATTTAAGAGAGGAGGGGGGAGGGGCAGGGGGAAAAGAGAATATATTTCTAGCAGCCTCGTCACTGAGCAGGGAGCCTGATGGGGGCTTGATTTATGACTCTGAGATCATGACCTGAGCTGAAATCAAGAACTGGACACCTAAACCGACTAAACCACCCAGGCGCCCCTCTGTTTAATTTTTTTCATGAAACGACTTACTAGGTAAAATTATTTTGTTCCTTAACTTTTCCCTTTGTTTATTGTCACTTTCTACCCTGGAGCATAGATTCTGTAAATTCTGAGAGCAAGGATCTTGTCTGTATTGTTTGTGGCTATTTGCCCTGCACCTGCAACAGTGCCTAGCATATAATAGGCAGTAGGCACTGGATACATATTTCTGCAGTAATAACGATACATAAAAAATTATTATGTAACACTTGTTTATAAATAATATATATACTGAGTTAGGAAAACATGGATTTCATATAGAAAATTTGAAAAACAGCAAAAAGGAAACAAATGTAATACCACCACTCAGAGGCAAAATACTTCTGGTGTGTACCTTAAGATTTTTGTTATACTTTTTTTTTTTACTAAGATTTTATTTATTTATTCATCAGAGACACAGAGAGGGGCAGAGACCTAGGCAGAGGGAGAAGCAGGCTCCCTGGAAGAAGCCTGGTGCAGGACTCGATCCCAGGACCCTGGGATGGTGACGTGAGCTGAAGGCAGATGCTTAACCAACAGAGCCACTCAGGCGACCCTATTTTTACATCACTTTAAATTACCATGTATTTTACTATATAAGTAGACCAGAATTTACTTAGTTCATCCTGTATTATTGTACATTTAAATTATTTTCAGTTTTTCACTGTTGTACCAATTTTTTTTTTAAAGATGTATTTATTCATGGGAGAGACAGAGAGAAGCAGAGACACAGGCAGAGAGAGAAGCAGGCTCCATGCAGGAAGTCTGATGTGGGACTATAGGATCATGCCCTGGGCAGAAGGGAGGCGCTCAACCACTGAGCCACCCAGGCGTCCGTGTTGTACCAAATTCTGAAGTAAATATCCCTATTTCCTTAGGAGATATTCTTACAAATAACATTCCTAAAATAAATGATATGTACATTTTTAAGGCCTTTGCACAGAGTCAAATTATTCTGTAGTATTATTACCATTTAATTGTTAACAATTTCTTCCCTGAAAATACATATAATCTTAATCTTTGGAATCTAGCTGTTCCAAACAGCTATTCTTTAAATTATTGAGGGAAAGTGTTGGAGAAGAGATTTTTCTCTAATTGAAGTATTATTGAGGTTCAATGTTACATTAGTGTCAGATATACAGAATAGTGATTCAGCATTTATATACATTACTCAGTGGTCAACACCACAAGTGTAGTCACGAGATTTTTATTTTTTTAAAGGATTTTATTTATTTGAGAGAGTATGCATGAGCAGTGGGGAGGGGCAAAAGGAGATGGAGAAGCAGACTCCCTGTGGGGCTTGATCCCAGGATCCTGAGATCATGACCTATGTCAAAGGCAGACACTTAACTGACTGAGCCACCCAGGTACCCCAAGAAGTTTTTAATTAAATGTTTCTAACTGCTTTTCACTTCTCCCTGAATAATTCTGTAGTAATAATTCTCCTGTAGAAGCAAGATGCTCAAATATTTAATTATAGAAAATAGGAAAATTATGGGAAAATTATATAGTTTACTGCCACTTGTAGAGAGCAACTGGTCATCTTTTTTTTTTTCTTTTAAAGATTTTATTTATTTATTCATGAGAGACACACACAGAGAGGGGCAGAGACACAGGCAGAGGGAGAAGCAGGCTCCATGCAGGACGCCCGATGTGGGACTTGATCTTGGGTCTCCAGGATCACGCCCTGGACTGAAGGTGGCGCTAATCCACTGAGCCACCGGGGCTGCCCTCATCCTTTTCTTTTAATGTAAGATTTAATGTTCTTTCTTAGCTTTATTCTCCAGCTTAAAAAAATCCATTTCCCTTGGTGTAGACAGTGGTCTTATAGAATTACACGTCAAAGACAGAAGAGATTAGTTTGAGGGGATAGTGCGGGATGTGACACATGCTCCTTGAATGGCAAGCTGGTAGCCTTGATTCTATTTCCAAAATGTTTTGAATAATGAGGTAGATGAAGTGCCAACATAGGATGCAAAATGAGAAGTTGATGGGGGGAGGAATCTCCTCCAGGTTTGTTTGACAGGAATCAAGGGAGCAGGTGAGATAGGATGTGACCATATTTATTTATTATTGATTTATCAACTTATTTAGATTTATTCAGAGCAAGTGAGCATGAGGGGTAGGGGTAGAGGAAGCGAGAATCTCAAGTAAACTTGATGTTGAGCAGGTAGCCTGACATGGTGTCCGTGTCCAACTCCGACTCGGGGCTCAGCACAGCACTCACTCTCACCACCCTGAGATCATGACCTGAGTGGAAACCAAGAGTCCAGTGCTTAACTGAGCCACCCAGGCGCCCCTGGATATGACTGCATCTAAAGCTGTTGTGTGTTGAGGGGATCCCTGGGTGGCTCAGCAGTTTAGCACCTGCCTTTGGCCCAGAGCGTGATTCTGGAGACCCGGGATCGAGTGCCGTGTCAGGCTCTCCACATGGAGCCTGCTTCTCCCTCTGCCTGTGTCTCTGCCTCTCTCTCCTCTCTCTGGGTCTCTCATGAATAGATAAATAAAATCTTAAAAATAAAGCTGTTGTGTGAACAGTGTGATCTTTGCATAGTGGTGGGTTGGAATCAGTTTTGAATTGAGTTTTTATGTCAACAGGTGCTTTTGGTGATAACCTGAACACATTTTTTAAAAAATTCATTTTTGGGCAGCCCGGGTGGCTCAGAGGTTCAGCGCCACCTTCAGCCCAGGACCTGATCCTGGAGACCTGGGATCGAGTCCCATGTCAGGCTACCTGCACGGAGCCTGCTTCTCCCTCTGCCTGTATCTCTGCCTCTCTCTGTGTGTGTCTCTCTCATAAATAAATAAATAAATTAAATAAAAAAAATCTTAAAAAATCCTTCTTTTTGGTTCAAAAATCAAAATTTAAAGTGATGTATAGTGAGAAGTCTCACTCCCACTCATGTCCCTGTCTACCCTATTCCTGCCTACGCTCTATAGGTAGCCACTTTGAGTAGTTGCTTGTGTAACTTGGCAGTTTCATTATGCATATAAAGCAAATGTGAGTACATAATCTTATTTTAATTTTTGTTTCACTCAAAAATAAAAATAGCATGCTGTGTGCATCTTGTGTGCTTATTATTATTTTTAAAGATTTTATTTATTTACTCATAGAGACACAGAGAGAAAGGCAGAGACACAGGCAGAGGGAGAAGCAGGCACCATGCAGAGCCTGATGTGGGACTCGATCCTGGGTCCCCAGGATCATGCCCTGGGCTGCAGGCAGCGCTAAACCGCTGTGCCACTGGGGCTGCCCTGTGCTTATTATTTTTATTTTTATTTTTTTATTTATTTTTTTTTTTTTACTTATTTATGATAGGCACACAGTTAGAGAGAGAGAGGCAGAGACACAGGCAGAGGGAGAAGCAGGCTTCATACACCGGGAGCCCGACGTGGGATTCGATCCCGGGTCTCCAGGATCGCGCCCTGGGCCAAAGGCAGGCGCTAAACCTCTGCGCCACCCAGGGATCCCATATTTTTAAAGTTTAAATCCTAGGGGTGCCTGTGTGGCTCAGTTAAGTGCCTTACTCTTCATTCTGGCTCAGGTCATGATCTCAGGGTCATGAGATTGAGTCTAGCTGGGTAAGGAGCCTTCATAGAATTCCCTCTCTCCCTTTGCCCTCCACCCCTCTAAAAAAGAAGTAAAATTTAAATCCTAGAGAGCTTCCGTATCACTGTGGAATTCTCCATTTTTTTATTGTTTGGTATTTTTTATTATATGGAAATTCTGTAGTTGATTTCTCTATTAACAGAGTTGTTACAGATTGCTAGTTTATTAGTTTTTTTTTCTTTTTTTTCTGGTGTTTTTAAAACTTGTGTTTATACTGTGGATTCTGTCTAGATCTTTATTAATACATTGTAGAGAGGTCTTTCCACTGTATCCTGTGTAGATCTGCATTAAGAAAATAGCTGCATAGTGTCAGTTGTATGGATGCACCACAACTTAATCGTTCCCCTAATTTTTCCTTTTTTTTTTTTTAATTAGAAAAAGCTACATCTTTATGTATTTGGGAGAGTTTATCTGTAACATAAATTCCTAAAAAAAAAAAAAAAAGTGAAATTGGTAGGTCAAAGTTACAGCATTTCAAGATTTGCTTAATATTGCCATTAGTTTTCCATATAAAATATTAACATAAACTTAGCAAGCTTCACATGGCCCACTTTTTTTTTTTTTTTTTTTTTTTAAGATTTTTATTCATAGAGACACAGAGGCAGAGACACAGGCAGAGGGAGAAGCAGGCTCCATGCAGGGAGCCCGACGTGGGACTCAATGCAGGGTCTCCAGGATCACACCCTGGGCTGCAGGCGGCGCTAAACTGCTGTGCCACCAGGGCTGCCCATGGCCCACGTTTAATACCTCAGTTTTTTTTTTTTTTAAAGATTTTATTCACTTATTCATCAGAGACACAGAGAGGCAGAGACACAGGCGGAGGGAGAAGCAGGCTCCATGCAGGGAGCCCGACGTGGGACTTGGGTATCCTGGATCAGGCCCTGGGCTGAGGGCGGCACTAAACAGCTGAGCCACCAGGGCTGCCCCATAGCTCACAGTTCAATAGGTCATGATTTGCGACTTAGTATGGCTGCATTCAATGCTCAGGTCCTTAGAAGGCTGAAATCAGGGTGTTGCCTGGGCTGTATTCCTTTCTGGAGGCTCTAGGGAAGAATCCACTTACAAGTTCATTCTGGTTATTGGCCCGATTCAGTTCCTATGATTGTAAGACTAACATCTTGGTTTCTGTACTGGTTGTCAGTGCCACTCTTAGCTCCTAGAAACTGCATGCAATCCTTGCCATTTCACTTCCTCTGTCTTCAGAGGCAGCAGTAAAGAATCTCTCCCAGGGAGATACTTTTATCTTTTGCCAGTCCTTCTGTGGACTCACGTGATTAATTCAGGCCTACAGAGGGATAATTTTCCCTCTATCAAGGTCAGGTGCTTTGGGACTTGACTTTACACAGTCCCTTCTCAGCATAAGAGGTTAGCGTGAATACCTGGAAGGTGTGTGGACAGAGAAGGTAGAAATCTTAGGGCCGTCTTAGACTTGTCTCCCAGTTGCTGGCCACTCTCTTAAGAGTTGTACCATTTGCACACCTGTCGTATACAAGTGTCCATTTCTCCCTTTCCCCATGTTTTCCATTTTTTTTTTTAATTTTTATTTACTTCTGATAGTCACGGGGGGGGGGGGGTGGCAGGCAGAGGGAGAAGCAGGCTCCATGCACCGGGAGCCCGACGTGGGATTCGATCCCGGGTCTCCAGGATCGCGCCCTGGGCCAAAGGCAGGCGCCAAACCACTGCGCCACCCAGGGATCCCCTCCATTGGTTGTTAAATCTTATCTATGAAAGGTTGTGTTTAGGATACTAGTTTTTTATCCATAAATGTTGCAAATATTTTTTCCCTAATTTATCCTTTGTTTTTGCTGTCGGAAGGTTGAATTGTACTGTATTTTCCTTTGGGATTTCTGGCTTAGAAAGCTTTTCATCTTTTTTCTTCTATTTCATTAAAAAAAAAATTGTAAAAAAAAAAAGTATCTATGACCCAAATGACTAGCCACTTGTCATAATGCCATGTATTAGAATTGTTAGAATTAAAACGTTAAACTTATTGCAATTCCATATAAATGCCTCATTTGCTTACATTTTAGCTCTGAAGTAAATGGTTTCTTTTTTCAGATTCCTTTCTCCAAATTTTTCTACTCTAATCAAGGAAGAATTCGGGATGCTCAATACCAGCTTTTGCTTGACAAGGTAACATTTTCCTGTACTTTCACTCAGAACTGTTATCTTTAGTGAACTAGAACTCCTTTGAGGATGATTTCAGTCCATTTTTGAGGGCTGGCAAATGAAAGATGAAAATGCTTATCAAGGCCACACCTGTTATTCCCACACAGAGATTGACTCAGACCTATTCTGTGAGCCAAACTCCCATCTTGGAGGACTTGCAGTATGGTCATCCTTTCAGGCTGCCTACATTTTATTTTAGCTGCAAAATCAGAACAGTATTCCAGTTCGGGAGGGCTTCAAGGAACCTCCATTAGGCATCCATGCTGTCCTCACCAGTCTTAAGTGGCACTACTTCAAAGAAAGGGAAGAGGAAGTAGAAAATCAGCTCTGCACTTCCTCTTATGATTTGCTACAGCATATAAGAACGGGGTATATATGCTAAGGGCTGATAGTGTAAAGACCCAATTATATTAATCACCTCATAGAACTTGAAAACTTAGAACAGTATCAGTGTATGAGAGTTTAATTAGTTTGTTTTAAATATAGATCTCTTCTATTGGATTCACCCTGGCTGATAAAGTAGATGGTCCATTCTTCCTGGAAATAGATTTTATTGGAGTGTTTACTGATCCAGCCCACACAGAAGAATTTGCCTATGAAAATTCTCCAGAGCTTAACCCAAGACTTTTTAAATAGAGATGGTAATTTTGTACTATCAAATTAAGTATTATCTATGATGATATGGACAAAATAAAGTATCTTCCAACCAACGGCTGGTATGTATTCCTTGAGACAAAGCTAAATGCTATTGCCAAAGGGCCACATGGAAGAAGACACAGCATGACACTAGGTTCTAAACTGTAACTTAATCCAAGCCCTGATGTGAAGGTATAAAGAACTGTTTTTGGGTTAAAATTATTCCTGTTAGCGAAACTTCCTACACACACAGATGTTGCCACAGCAGGTAGTCATGAAGAGGACTATTGATACCATTTTCCCTACTCTATTCCTTGTAGGTTTGTGTTTTCTAATCCACCATTTGAGGAAAGGAGATTGCTAAAGGTTGCTATACAATTCAGTGGCTTTCTGGTACTCAAAGAATTGTCAGTTTTTACTACAACATTAGAAAATTTCTATCTGGCCTAGAAACGTTAATGCCCCTTTGCAGGCACTCTTAACTCCCACTACCTCCAGCCCCAGATATCTACTGATCTACTTTCTCCATAGGTTTAGTTTCTCTGGATATGTCCTATAGTCATATGTGATCTTTTATTGTCTGGCTTCTTTTCACTTAGCATAATGTCTGTGAGATTCATCCATGCTCTAACATTAGTACTTTTGTGTTTGTTTTTTTTTAAAGATTTTATTCATGAGAGACCGAGAGAGAGAGGCACAGACACAGGCAGAGGGATAAGCAGGGAGCCCGACATGGGACTCGATTCCGGGTCTCCAAGATCACGCCCCGGGCTGAAGGCAGCACTAAACCGCTGAGCCACCCAGGCTGCCCCGTGCATTTTTAATCTATTAATGGACAGCTGGATTTTCTCCATTTTTTGGCTATAATGCTCCTGTAAATATCTGTGTACAAGTTCTTATGTGGACACGTGCTTCTATTTCCCTTGGGTACATACCTAGGAGTAGGAGGTCATGTGCTGCTTGTGCTTCAGTGTGACCCATGCCTTTGCTGGGGAATGTGGTAGACATATTTAACTTTAAAAAAACTACCAGCCTGTTAACCAAAGTGATTCTTTTACCTTCCCAGCAGCAGTTTGACAGTGATTTAATTGATCTCTGCCTAATAGCAAAATATGAATTTATTCAGCACCCAGGAGTATGCCAATGTTCTGTGAGCTCATAGATCTAAGAATAAGAGTCGGATATGTGCTGCGAAAAATACCAGAGGACGATATGCTCATTTATTCTTCGTGTGAGAAGAAGTAGTCAGGACAGGATGCACGGAGAGTACAAGTCAACTGGTGTTAGTCTTAGCTGCTCAACTCAATCTGGAAGTCCATTTATTTGCAAAGAATCTACCATCATGAGAAAACATTCATGAAAATCTTCATCAGTACAAAGCCCAGAAGCTCCACTTAGGGGCAGCAAACATGGCTGTGATGCTGAACAACTCTGGTCTTTCCCATAAAACAAGTAAGATCTAACTGACAGAGTATACTGACCCTTGAAGCAGCAACCCTTAGGTTTCAATATAGGCCTGGGTATTTTTAAATAAGTAAGGCTAGAATGAGCTATGGAGTTTTTAAGAATATATTGAGTGATAGATGGTGATTACATCGGGTGATCTGAACAGACCTGCATAGGTAATAAACCACGTCACACAGAATATGCCAGTACGGACGTGTATTGCTCCCCATTTCAGTAAGACTATGTGGTCCTCTAGGGGAGGAAGAGGTGGCCTTCTCAGCTTTTTATTGGTCAAGTTCTACTAAGGCTTGTAGAATTACCTACCATCAGGTCAATGCTTCTGTCTAGAAGAGGATTCCAGTTCTGTCAGCAGAGGAAACTAGACATTAAAAATCTAAGTCAAGGTTATATATAGGATGAGTCTCAGAAAACTGAATTGTACACTTAGGAAAAAAACATTTCAAAGAATCTGAGCGTTAAGGTTAATAAGGTCTTTTCAGAGATGCAGCCTGTGAAGAACCCCCAACACTACATAGTGAACAACAAACAGCAGAAGGAAGTCTTGACTCAAGTGAAGAAGACAGAAAAATATTTACATTAAAGAAAGGGTTCAGAATGAAGTAATATTTACAGGATGCTAAAAAATTAATCTTCAGCCATAATGAGGCCTCTTCGAGCTCCCAAAACCTTTGCTTTCTTCTCCTTTCGTCTTTGTTCATGTTGCTTCCGTTGTTCTTCCCTAAAGAGGTACAGGTACTCATTAGGCTCTAGTGAAGCTCTATAAGAGTCCACTTTAAAGCACTTGTCATCAGACTAATGTCCAAGCTTAAACTGAAATCCAGATACTTGTATAAAATATTCTTACAGAACACTGTGCTCTAGCTAGTGGGCTGTCTGTGGAAGCCACACCTGTAAGTCACTTGTGTTACAGGGCTACAAACTGGTATTTCCCTTTTTATGTTAATGCAGCATTCTAAAATTAAGCATGGAACTGGAACAAAAGGTACCTCAGTACCTTAATTTGTTTTAAATGAGAAATCTCTCCTTTGGAAGTCAAAGGTCAGGCTCAAAATCACGTAGTCTAGTGGAAGTGCTGGAATTAGAACCAGGTTCTGCTGACTTAAGCCACTGTATCTTTCTGGAAGGGATTAGGGATTGGTAGGAGGGGTTTGGGGGGGCTAGGATTATATTGAATAAAACTTAAAAACAATTCATCAAGGATTCTATACCCAATGTGGGGCTTGAACTCAGCCCCAAAAACAAGAGTTGCATGTTCTTCTGACTGAGCCAGCCAAGCAACCCTATGTTAACAATCTTAATGGCAAATATAGTTACTGAATGTCTTGGTGGCAGCTGGATATAGGGAAGTCAAATGATGGGTAATCCTGTATTAGGATGGTTTTATGCAGCGAATCAACTCGATCAGGACCAGCTACACCCCACAGCAAGCTCTGGCTTTAACTTGGTTTTCACATGCAGAAGGAAGCCTCTAAGGATCAGCTGGGGATTTCTTCTGGGGTAGGGCCTTGAAGCCTGATTTCCCTGGGAGTGAAGAATTTACATCTGGGCACTTGGATTGGTGTCTGGAGGGATAGCCAGATACACTGGGATGGTAGGTCATGTGAGAACAGGGTTCCCTCCTGAATCACCTATAGAGCTTTGGAAACCGTACAGCTGCTTGGACCCCACCTCCCAATTGCTGAATTAGAAACCACTGCGGTGGGGCCTAAGCACATGTACCTTTATGAAGTTCTAGATATGATTCCATGACTCCCCCCCCTTTTTTTCCCCCATGACTCCCTTTTTCTTAAACACCACTATTACTGAAACTCTCTGTACTTCAGAGGCTTTGCTTTTAAATATAGACTTTTAAAATTAAAAGAACTATAGAACTGGTTAATTATATACTCACCGAGTCTGGAGAGGAGGTTGTTTATAATTTTTCTTGTGGAAGCTAACTCTATTGGCATGTTGCTTGAGAGAACTATTTTCTTTAGGTTGACCCCATGGTTTCAGTTTGCCTAGTTTAGGAGAGACAAAGATTTAAGATTTTTCTATTTATATTCCCAATTTTACTCATTTGAGGTTATTTGCTTGTTACCAATATTTATACTTTATAGACATTTGCCAGTATAATTGTATTAGTTTTAATTTCATAGTCCACAAATATAAATGATGTTATACTTTTTTCCCCTAAAAATAAAGCTTTTTAAAAAAGATTTATTAAGAGACAGAACATACATGCATACACAGGCTGGTTGGGCAGAAGGAAAGGGAGAAAGAATCTTAATCACATGGTGCTGAGCCCAGAGCCGGATGCAAGACTCAATCTCACGACCGGATATCTTGTCCTGAATTGAGTCGGACGCTTAACCAACTGAGCCACCCAGGCACCATGTGTGTTTTACTTTTTAATCCTTGGAAACTCAGTTTTATTTTTTATTTTTATTTTTTAAAGATTTATTTATTCATGAGAGAGAGAGAGAGAGAGAGAGAGAGGCAGGCAGAGACACAGGCAGAGGGTGAAGCAGGCTCCATGCAGGGAGCCCGACATGGGACTCCAGGATCGCACCCTGGGCCAAAGGCAGGCGCCAAACCGCTGAGTCACCCAGAGATCCCCAACTCACAGTTTTAATGCTATTAAAAAATCTTAATACTAAATCCAATTACATAGCACATTAAAAAAAAGTCATCACAACCAAGTAGTTTATCCCAAAGTTGTTTATTATTTACTTATTTTTAAAGATTCTATTTACTTATTCATGAGACACACAGAGAGGGGTAGAGACATAGACAGAGGGAGAAGCAGGCTCTGTGCAGGGAATCCGATATGGGACTTGATCCCAGGACCCCGGCATCATGACCTGAGCCAAAGGCAGATGTTCAACTACTGAGCCACCCAGGCATCCCTCAAGGTTTCTAGGTATTTAATATTAAAGAATTTCATCTGAGCAATTTGTTATTACTGTTCCCTAGTAAAATGTATTTGGAATGGAATAAGTGGATTTTATTAGCTTTAGACCTGGGACCAAATTTCCAGATGTTTACATATTTTTGTTTAGTTTGTTTAGTTTATGAGCTATTTTTTTTTAAGATTTTTATTTATTTATTCATGAGAGACACAGAGAGAGAGGCAGAGACACAGGCAGAGAGAGAAGCAGGCTCCAGGCAGGGAGCCCGATGCGGGACTCAATCCCGGTTCCCCAGGATCAAGCCCTGGGGCGAAGGTGGCGCCAAATCGCTGAGCCACCCGGACTGCCCCTATGAGCTATCTTTGAGTGCCAAAGATTATTTGCAGTTTCCCATTTTATAAAAAGGACTTTCACACTGCTGATGTAATATTTGTTTTCTTTTCCTTAAGACACTAAATGACTTGTCTAGGGTATAAAAATAATAAGCAGTACAGATGAAGCTCTCAGCCAGATTTTCTATTAGAAGTTAGTTGTGGCCAGAATCATTCCCCAAATACTTTCTGAGCACCTGGTATAGTCAAGAACTTTTTTAGGGGGGCAGCCCCTGGCTGGCTCAGTGGTTTAGCGCCAGGATGTGATCCTGGAATCGAGTCCCATGTCAGGCTCCCTGCATGAAGCCTGCTTCTCCCTCTGCATGTCTCTCATGAATAAATAAATAAAATCTTTTTTTTTTTTAATTTTTTTAATTTATGATAGTCACAGAGAGAGAGAGGCAGAGACACAGGCAGAGGGAGAAGCAGGCTCCATGCACCGGGAGCCCGACGTGGGATTTGATCCCGGGTCTCCAGGATTGCGCCCTGGGCCAAAGGCAGGCGCCAAACCGCTGCGCCACCCAGGGATCCCAATAAATAAAATCTTAAAAAGAAAAAAAAGTTTTATTTATTCATGAGAGACACAGAGAGGGAGGAAGAGACACAGGCAGAGGGAGAAGCAGGCTCCATGCAGGGAGCCCGATGTGGGACTCGATCCCAGGACTCCAGGATCATACCCTGGGCTGAAGGCAGGCACTAAACTGCTGAGCCACCCAGGGATCCCGAATAAATAAAATCTTAAAAAAAAAAAAAAGGATCTATTTCAGAGGTAGAGCTGAAAGGACTAACTGATGGACCTAGGTATGGGGTCTGAGAGAAGGAGCCAGATGATGCCCAGGTTTCTCCCTGACAACTTACTTAGTAATATGTGCCAGGGCCATGTATAGGAAAACCGGGCATAGGGGGCAGTGTGGTGTGTGAAGAAAGAAGTTTTGTTTTTGTACAATTGATTCTTACTTCAAAATAAGATTTTTCATTATATTTGTTTCATTAATGTAATTTAAAGATAAACACTGTTAGAAGAATATGATTTATGGAAAATCATCTTGTTTTAAAGTAATTCTAGAATCACAAGCCACCTGAAGTATTGTTTTTTTTTTTTTTTAAGATTTTTTTTTTTTTTAAAGATCTTATTACACATACACAGAAAGAGAGAGAGGCAGAGAGGCACAGGCAGGCTCCATGCAGGGAGCCTGACGTGGGACTTGATCCTGGGTCTCCTGGATCTCCACCAAAGGCGGCGCTAAACCGCTGAGCCACCCAGGCTGCCCATATTAGTTGTTTTTAAAAACTTTTTATTGGTATTTTATTTTATCATTATTTTTTTTTAGTATTGGTATTTTAGCTGGAAATACCGATACTTTAATACATGCCCAGTTTATATGGGCATTTATATGACCAATAAATTCCCAGGTTGTTGGACTGGGTGGATTCCAGCCTGGGATCCTTTGAAAGTTGTAAAGAAAACATTAATTTGCCCATAGGCCAATTTCCAAATTTCTTGATTTTGCCTGCTATTATTTCTTTGCTATAACACTGATTAGAAGTTAGGTCTTTGATTAGCAGAAATGTAAGTGAATCATTATTTAGTATTTGCTTAGTGGATAGTTTTTAAAATTATGGATCATGTGGAGCCAGGGGAAGAAATTCTAGGTGATTCAGTATGGCTTTCCACTGAGGCACTAGAATCTTTCACATCCTGAGATGTAGAACTATTTAATCCTAAGTCTTTGGCACGGCTTTCTAAGAACATTGGCACATACCTTTGTGTGGCTCATAGTTGAGGGGACGAGACAGACTTGCTTTGAGATCAAACACTGGTTTCTTGTTGGAGACTGGAGTCTGTGCTGCCTCAGTTGTCAATTTGAATGGGGTAACAACTATAAAACCAAGGAACAAAACCCCAGGGCTTAATTAGGAAAAAAAAAAATGAAGTACCACTTCTCAGTCTTAAATATATCATCTATATGGACCGTCTCAACCATGTAGGGTTAAAAAGAAGAATAACCAAGGAAATCTAACCACCAAGACTTGCTTCTCTTGTGAGCTCCCCAAACAGTCTCAATATTAGGTTTTTTCCTTAGGAATCAGCTGGGAGTTGAAAATCCTGTGTAAATAATCGACTGGGTAAATTTTTAGGCTGTGTCCCTGATATTATTTACCCTTTAAAAATATATTAGTAACATTTTCATTCATACAGATACAAAGCCTGCAAGGAACCTAACCACATACAGATGAAAAGATATGTGGCTCTGGTTGTTATTTAATAAAAGCAGTTATTTATGGTACAAAAATTCACATATTTAAAGTTAATATACCAGGATGGTAGGATTCAAGTAAAGCCAAATTTTTGCTACAGTTGGGCATCATATATTGGGCCTATTTTGTAATTCTTTCCCATCACAGACTATTGTTGAATGTTAGCACTTGCATGTATATATGAAGAAGTAACCAAGACCTAGGACCCCTCAGTTAAATCAGAAAAGCACAAAACCCTTGTGCTTAAGCAATCCCATTGCGTTGCTATCAGGTGCCAGTAGGGAGGGGAACACTGGGGCTGTCTATAACGCCAAGTTTAAATAAGTACAATTCAACCTGTAGAGTAACTGCAACCCTGCTACACACGCCAGCTCATCCTAGGTCTAGAGAAGCTCTTACATGTGTACAGGAGACATAGTTAAGAATGGTCATAACAGTATAATAATAAAAGTTGGAAATATCCACATGGTCAATAAGCATTAAAATGCATAAATTGAAATATATCCATATCAATGAAAATGAATACATTTTATAGCTCATTTGTCAATATGGATGATTCTTCAAACATTATGCTGAGTGAATGAAAGCAAATCATGGGGGAAAAAAATCATACAATTGGTTTCCTTTACATAAAGTTCTTATCTGATAATTGGGGAAAAAAACTATCCCATCCTAACTGGGCACACCTCTGAATTACCACGAGGAGAAAAGTCAGAATATGGTAAACATTTAGTTTCTGCCTCAAGTCCTCTGTGAGCATTTGTGAGTCCTTTCTCATTACGAGGTAAGTGGCTGCTACCCAGTGACCCCAGCTCTCTGTAAAATAACAGTCCTATCTTAGACAAGTCCACTCCACTTTTAGCACTGTTTTCTGCCCAGGCCCCTTTCTTCCCATACTGTAGGGAGATATAGAATGTTACGAACTTTTTGCTTTTGATTTTATAGTTATGGAGAGAGGCTTTAAGTAAACAAATACACTTAATAATTTCAGGAAGTTACATGGCTTAAAGATGAACCAGGATTTTTCTTTTGTTTTACCAGAAGCAGAATTCCCCTTTGCGGTCTTTAACTTGCATGTCCCGAGCACAGCCTGGCCTTTTGGGGTACTCCCACATACGGTCACATGTGGAGACTTTCTGGCTGGAGTCTTGGTCAGTGAACGCTTATGTTCATTATCTTTGGTAGCAGCTGAAAACCTAAACAGGACAGTAGAGTACCAAACATGAGTGCTTATGTCATGAGTAACTTGTAGCAAGCTTACGTGAATAAACCACTTTTGCAGAATAAACATTTTACAACACTTTATTTGTAAAATGTGGTTTTGTCTTCTCTGCTCTCCTTGCCTTGGCCAATGACAGGACAAGACTGTGGGGCTCAAATTACAGTTTAGGAGGTACTCTGAGCACTCTCCTCTTTCTCTTCTGGTGACGGCTTATCAGAGGGAACAGGAGACTGCTATGCTCAGGAAGTAATGGGAATAGACCTTATGTCTTCCTAGTAGATGGTCATTCATTTGAATGGTCCATAAGGGGATGCCTGGGTGGCCCAGTGGTTGAGCATCTGCTATGGCTCCGGGCATAATCCCAGGGTCCTGTGATCAGTCCCACAATGGGCTCTCTACAGGGAGCCTACCTCTCCCTCTGCCTATGTCTCTGCCATGAATAAAATCTTAAAAAACAAAAAAGTCCATAAGCCCATTCTCCTAGCAAATTGCCATAAGTTTATCTCATTGATTAAGATGCATAGTTTCTCTGCATTTTAATGTGTGAAATTGGGATGTGTTCTGTAATTAGTAACACACACATCATAGTTGGCAGTGATTCTTCTCAGTGGTTCATAAAATAATGGTGATTATCCAGCTGATGGTGTCTTAGTCAGTGAAAGTCAGGAAGGACAGATCTACATGGTGTGGCTGTGAGGTTAACAGAAGAGAACTTCTGGACTTGTAATGAAAATGTGGTGGTAATCCTGAATCAACACCCAAAATTATTATGAAATATTCTACAACCCAGTTAAGACAACTGCATGTTAGGAGAGGTGCCATGAAGGCCAGGCTGTTCTGTACACTGCAGTGGAGCAAGAACTTGCCCCAACCATGGTGTTCTTAAATACTATTAAATACAAACAGAACTGCCAAGTAGAGGCACCTCATACTCAATTCTAACTCAATAAATAGAATTCCAAACTTAAGGTCATTTTTAAGCTCTAAAAACTATGTCAGATAATTGAATGTGTTGGGCAAGTGTTACCAGGCACCTCACTATTAGATGCTGCAAATGCACTTAAGAAAAGGAGATTAGGAGCACCTGGCTAGCTCAGTTGGTAAGCATGCAACTCTTTTAAATTTTTTTTTTATTTTTTTTTAATTTATGATAGTCACACACACAGAGAGAGAGAGAGAGAGGCAGAGACACAGGCAGAGGGAGAGGCAGGCTCCATGCACCCGGAGCCCGACGCGGGATTCGATCCCGGGTCTCCAGGATCGCGCCCTGGGCCAAAGGCAGGCGCCAAACCGCTGCGCCACCCAGGGATCCCAGCATGCAACTCTTGATCTTGGAGTTGTAGGTCTGAGCCCCACAGTGGGTGTGGAGATTACTTAAAAATAAAAGCTTAAAAAAAAAAAAAAAGCTTTAAAGAAAAAAAAAAAAAGAGGGGTGCCTGGGTGGCTCAGTTAGTTAAGCGTCTGCCTTCCACTCAGGTCCTGCTCAGTGGGAGTCTGCCTCTCCCTCTATTTGTGCTCATACTCTCTCTCTAATAAATAAGTAAAATCTTAAAGTGCTTGCTTCGGCAGCACATATTCTAAAATTGGAATCATACAGAGAAGATTAGCATTGTCCCTGTGCAAGGATGACACACAAAATCTTAAATTAAAAAAAAAAAAAAGGGAGAGAATAAAATTTCTGTATTAAAGAAAGGGGGCCTGAAGATCTTCATCTCTGGGATAGTTATAGTTGGGGGCTACCCTGCTATTGGACAAGGTACAAGCAAAAAAAAAAAAAAAAAATCGAGGGATCAGTGGGGCATAGGATAGCTAGGGTACTGCAGTACCCACTGGGTTACAACACTTCCACTTTAGGATGAGTTAACTAATAAGTTCATTGCATCGAGAAGTTTTCTGCAGGAATTTAGCTTCAACTTTACATTTAAGTCAATGGGAAAATTTCTCTTTACATATCTTTACAGGCATACATTAAACAAATAAAATGAATATCCATGTATACTTTATTTAAGCCAAATGTGAGCTTAGAGATATTCGATAAGAAAATCCAATACAAGTTTAAAGAAAAAATATTAGGTTATAAAAACCATCTGATTTTCTCTCCATTCTGATCCTCTTTTGCCTTCTTTTTCATCAACATAGCAACATATTTGATGTCATCCACCTGAAATGCACAAGAAGCATTAAAACTTTGAAATGGGGATCCCTGGGTGGCGCAGCGGTTTGGCGCCTGCCTTTGGCCCAGGGCGCAATCCTGGAGACCAGGGATCGAATCCCACATCGGGCTTCCGGTGCATGGAGCCTGCCTCTCCCTCTGCCTGTGTCTCTGCCTCTCTCTCTCTCTCTGTGACTATCATAAATAAATAAAAATTAAAAAAAAATAAAACTTTGAAATGGTCCTTGTAGTTGATTACATTTCGGAGTTCTTACCTGACGTTCATCTTCGTTGCTGATAGAATGGAACGCTTGGCAGACCCCTTCCCACACAAGGTGCTCTGGCCTGTAGGGCCCAGGGGCTGGCCCTGTGAGTGGCGCTGGCTGGAGGGAGTTCGAGCCTCAGGGAGCCTTCCCCGGAGAGGAACTGGAGTCACCACCACTTCTTTGGTGACCAGCTGCTTCTGCACAAAGACACAGGAACCATGTTCAAGTTTGGCTTCTTAGCACTGTCCTCAGAGTGCCCCCATTCATCTCCTTGTTCCATCCCCATTTTTAACCGCACCTGTTATCTTTCCTTCTCACAGCCTCATCCTATTCCTACCTGCCGGGTGGGCTGCGCAGTTCCTAGCACCTGTATTGGTACGGTGACCAAGTTATGAGTAACTTCTGGTTGTGCTGAGTCGTGGGTTATAGAAAGCCTCTCCTAGCTGCCATGAACCCAGGGATTGGGACACCTGGGTGGCTCAGCAGTTGAGCATCTGCCCTAGGCTCAGGGTGTGATCCCGGGGTCCTGGGATCAAATCCCAGATTGGGCTCCCTGCAGGGAGTCTGCTTCTTCCTCTGCCTAGGTCTCTGCCTCTCTCTCTCTCTGCCTGTCTCATGAATAAATAAAGTCTTAAAAAAAAAACAAAAAAACCCAGAGATTTTCTAAGGAATGTGGCTGAACAGACACATGAAAATGTGATTAGCAGTTTATTAAATACAAACTCAAAGAACAAATATTACATAAATAGCACATGGAATCTACAAATAATTCCACTCTTATCCTCATGACCCCCCCAATGGCTTCTTAAAGTTTTTAAAAACAAAACAAAACAAAAGAAATAGGGAGGGAAGGAATTCTCCCTTTGAAATGACTGGAGAGGGATCCCTGGGTGGCTTAGCGGTTTAGCCCTGCCTTCAGCCCGGGGCATGATCCTGGAGTCCTGGGATCGAGTCCCACATCAGGCTCCCTACATGGAGCCTGCTTCTCTCTCTGCCTGTGTCTCTGCCTCTCTCCCTCTGTGTCTCTCATGAATAAATAAGTAAATCTTAAAAAAAAAAAATTAAACGACTGGAGAGGGTCCACTAAGGTTATCATTTTTTATATACTGTCCGGGCACAAGAATAACAATGTCTTCCTGTCACTGGTTTCAGTTTTTTTTTTAATTTTTATTTATTTATGATAGTCACACAGAGAGAAAGAGAGAGGCAGAGACACAGGCAGAGGGAGAAGCAGGCTCCATGCACTGGGAGCCCGACGTGGGATTCGATCCTGGGTCTCCAGAATTGCGCCCTGGGCCAAAGGCAGGCGCTAAACCGCTGCGCCACCCAGGGATCCCTGGTTTCAGCTTTTGCAAGCAGAAGAAATATAATACAACTCTGCTAACTAACAACAGTGGTGGGTCTACTGACATCGACAAATTCTGGTTATGTCCTAGGAAATACAAGCACTCAGAGAAGAATGTCAGCTTCTCAACATACAAGCAGAAGAGATTCTAATGTGACACAAAGTTAAAACACAAGGGTAAGAATTACTATTTAGTAAAAGGACATGGATACTAGAGGGCTGGCGGGGGGTGGTTAGGTTAGAAGTATTAAGCATACTGTTCTATTTAATCACACTTCTTATGCCTCCTCCTGTCTCTCCTCCAAGATTCCCACTTTCCATGCTGTCTCTCTTCACAGTTCACTTGGTGTCAAGACCATCAACTCTGCATCTTTGTTTTAAGCTACTTATGATGCAGGAATGAGTCTACTAGCCCTTAACTATTTGACTTTTTTTCAGGTTGAGTATTAAACCGTTGATTCTAGTAGTACTAACTCATTTTGTCAGTAACGTATGTAACCAATTTCTTTTAGTAATAAAAATCCTGTTCAAAAAAAAAAAAATTCCTGTTCAATCCTAACAAAGAGCTCAATCGTACCCCCCAAAAAATATTATAGGGGGAAATAATAAAAGCAGGAAAAATAAATGTAAGAGCTTATTTTTATGATCTTAGAATAGGTAGGGTATGACAAAAGAAACCTCAGACCCTTAAAAGGAAAAATTGGATAAATTTAAGAAAAAACCTTTCACAAGATAAAAGACACCATTAACATGGTTAAAAGATAGATTGTAGGAAAGTTTTTGTAATATAGGATAGCATTAATATAAATGGTTAATAGACGGGTAAAAAATTAAGAAAAAAATTTTCACAAAAAAATCCCAGCCAATTATATAAACCTAGAATAAGCAAAGAAATGCCAATTGTAATTTTTTTCTTATCATATTAAAGATCTAAAAAATTCATCATTCCTACCATTGACAAAATAATCAGGCATCTTGGGGCACTGTTTCTGATGTTTGTAGAGGGCCATTTGGCAACTAAATCAAATAGATCTGCCAGTTCTAATCATGAAAAATCAAAGAGACAGGTCAAAGCCAGGATTATTCTAAAATCTCTTTATTATCCAATACTATCCAACGACCAATCCTGAAATATGTCAACTGTCAAGAAAAGCTTCCTATAAGCTATGGTGAAGTCACTGTAATTTTTTATTTTCCAGTTTTCAAATAGATAATACCCAATAACCTATCTGATAGATCTATTCCTTAAACAGTGGGGAGTCAGGTTCAGATTTTAGAACTAAGCTCATTCAGGTGGGGTATCGGTAAAAAATAAGATAATCTACTCATTTATTTAACATATCTCCAGGATTTATAAAGTCAAGTTTATGGTTGAGACACTTATTCTGTCCTAACTTTTTTCCTGGGAAACTAACACCTGTATTAGTATAGAAAACTTGACTATCAGGTATTTAAGCAGACTCAGTTTCATGGTAAGGAAAATGAGTGGCCCTGCTTCAGGCATATTTGCTGCTAGCTTATTCTTATACAAAAAAAAGAAGAAAAGAAAAGAGAAAAGAGAGAGAAAAGAGGAAGGGAAGGGAAGGAAAAAGAAAAAAGAAAAAAGAAAAGAAAAAACTATAGGTCCATTTTATGTAAATCCTCAGCATGGGCCACTTGTCTAGGTATTCCACTGCCAATACAGTGATACTTAGCCCTTATTAATATTAACAAAGTATTACTATGGGCACACTGAGTGTCTCTTCTCTGATTTTCCATCCATGCTGTTGGATTAGTATGCAGGAATGGAGGCATTCAAATGCCATGGGCTTGGCTTTGTTGCTGTTAGCTAGTTCATAAATGGTGTCTTCAACTATGTTAGCAGGGGTTTTATAAAGAGTTAAAATGAATGTTAGTACTCTAGATTCAGCCTTTAAGAAGTTTATAGTGTATGTTTCTTTAAAAAAATTATTTAAAACTTATTACCTAGTGTGTTTTTGTACTGGTGTATCAGAAAACCTAAAACTCAACTGACTGATGTAGCAGATACTGTCCCTGCTAACAGTGGTCATGTTCTGCCTCTTTCAAATCAACTTTATACTGTTTTGTGTTGTAATACCACAGACTTGCCTCCAATTCTTCTTCTTTTTTTTTTTTTTTAAGATTTTATTTATTTATTCATAGACACACAGAGAGAGAGAGGCAGAGACACAGGCAGAGGGAGAGGGAGAAGCAGGCTCCATGAAGGGAGCCCGACGCGGGACTCGATCCCTGGTCTCCAGGATCATAGCCCAGGCTGCAGGCGGCGCCAAACCGCTGCGCCACCAGGGCTGCCCGCCTCCAATTCTTTTTGGGAAATAAGCAAGCTATATGTATTAAATTCTGGAGTAAATGTTACCCAGTCTTGTATGTGGCACCTCTTTAACACTAGATACCATATAACATAACATAAGGATGTTATCAACTCACTGCTCTGCTAATTCAATGTCAGGGTTGACTTCATCACCTTTTCTTACTTGAAGGGACCTTGAGTAGAGCAGGACCTAGACTGAAGGGTCCCAGGAGTTCAGTTTATCAGGAAGCCTCTAAGTTAGCCACTACAATTCATTCCTTTTTCCTTTAGGTGAGAGACCAGGAAAAGAAGATGGCTTCACCCATAAATCAGTCCATCCTCAACAAAAGTAATAATGAAAACAGAACTTATTGGCACTTTGGAGTTAGTTCTTTATAGCGAGGACTCCTGATTTTATTTCGATGGTTCTGAAAATTCTTATGGGGGGGGGGAGCAATTTCAGATAATAAAGATAAATTAAACTCAAATCCATTCCACTGGAAGAGTAATAAAAAGGCTGGCTGTATTAGCTAAGGTATTAAAATCAGAGAGTTCAGTCCCATTGAAAACATAATTCTAGGGGTGCCTGGGTGGCAGTTAATTGAACATCTGACTCTTGGTTTCAGCTTAGGTAGTGATCTCCGGGTCTTCAGATCAGCAAGCTTAGCATTGAGCTTGCTTGGGATGCTTTCTCCCTCTGCCCTTCCTACTTGAGGGCACACTCTCAAACAAATCTTTGAAAAAAGAAAAAATTTTATCAGCATACCTTCAGTTCATTAAATGAGTTGTGTTCTTCAAAATGTTTCTTTTTCCTTTCAATATATTGATCAATGGACTCCATTTCCTTAAAACGAGCCTCATGAAGCTTCTTAAAGTCTAGAATGTTCCCCAAAATATGACAATTAATAATAAGACAAATACATTTACTCACCTTTCTTTTGTCTTTCTGTTAATACTTATTCTCTTCTCTGCATCCCTGATATTCAACTTCAACATCATCTTTGCTAAAAATCTAATTTCAAATCTTTTAGCTTCTGGAAACTCAGGGACAGAGTATATTCATCTTATCAACTATCAAACACCATGTCTCCACTGTCCATTTCCCCACTGACAACTTGGTTTAGTCCACAGAACAATCACAGATTTGTCCTCTCCCCTCACCAATTAATCAAATGGCCTTTACCTTAATCATAAATTTGAAATATTTTAATGTTTAGAAAGCTTTATAACAAGGATTGGCAAACCTTTTTTGTAAAGGGTCAGACAGTAAATATTTTATTTAGCTTTTGTAGCCACATCTCTTTAATACAATCCTCTAAAACTATAAAGGCCATTCCTAGCTTAAGGGTTGGAAGACAGACCAAGGTGAGTAGCAATTTGCTGACCCCTGCTCTGTGCTATTCTGATTAAGAATATACTGGGGGTGCCTAGCTTGTCAGTCAGAGGAGTGTGTGACTCTTGATCTTGGGGTTGTGGGTTTAAGCCAATGTTGGATGTGGAGATTATCTTTTTTTAAAAAATATTTTATTTATTCATGAGAGACTTAGAGAGAGGTAGAGACACAGGCAGAGGGAGAAGCAGGCTCCATGCAGGGAGGTCGACATGGGACTCGATCCCAGGGCTCCAGGATCATGCCCTGGGCTGAAGGCGGCGCTAAACTGCTGAGCCACCCAGGCTGCCCTGATGTGGAGATTATCTAAAACAAACACACAAACACACATACAAGAAAACAAACACAACACTTAAAAATTTTTTTTTAATAAAAAAAATTCTAAATATTAAGCATATGCTTTTCTAATATATGCTGAGCAGCACTTTAAGTACTATAAACATACAACACTTAACATTGTATGTGCCAGGCAATAGAGAACAATAAATTACATATTTAAATATGGAATCTCGAGATGCCTGAGTGACTCAGCAGTTGAGTACCTGCCTTTGGCTTGATCCTGGAGTCAAGTCCCACATTGGGGTCCCTGCAGGGAGCGTGCTTCTCCCTCTTTGTCTCTGCTGCTCTCTCTCATGAATAAATACAATCTTTAAAAGAAAATATGGAATCCTAAACTTATTATTGAAAAAAAAAAATTAAGGGTGCCTGATTGGCTTAGTCAGTAGAGAATGGGACTTGATTTCTAGGTCATGAGTTCAAGCCCCATGTTGAGAATAGAGAGTACTTAAAACAAAATTAAGAAAAAAACCCTACAAGGTGGACATCATTCCAAATACTTTATAGACATTCATTCTCAGATATTTACTGAATACCTGCCATGTGCTAGTTGCTATGTTAGGTAATCAGAAGTTGAAAAATAGTCTCTATATACAAGAATACCTTGGCTTTTTTTTTTTTTTTTAAGAATACCTTGTTTATTGCACTTTGAGATACTGGGTGTTTTTGTCTTTCGTTTTTACAAATTGAAGGTTTCCTGCAACCTTGTCAAGCACCATCTTTCCTACCGCATTGGCTCACTTCATATCTCTATCACATTTTGGTAATTAGTTCAATATTTCAAACTTTCACTGTGGTCATATATTTGCTATGGTGCTCTATGGTCACTGATATTGTAATTACTTTGGAGCACCACAGGCAGTGCCCATATAAGATGGCAAACTTAATAAATGTGGTACATTCTGACTTCTCTTACAGTAGCCTGCCTCTAAGTCTTCAGGTGAAATGAAGAGTTGCATATCTCTCACTTTAAATCAAAAGCTAGAAATGATTAAGCTTAGCAAGGAAGGCATGCCAAAAGCCAAGATAGCTAACTGGTCCCCTAGTTTTCAGCCTAAGTTGTAAATGCAAAGGAAAGGTTCCCGAAAGAGATTAAAATGCTACTCCAGAGAACACCCGAATGCTAAGAAAGTAAAATAGCCTTATTGTTGAAATGAAGGAAGTCTGAATGGTCTGTGTAAAGATCAAATCAGCCACTGTATTCCCATAAGCCAAGGCCTAATCCGTAGCTAGGCCCTAATGCTCTTTAATTCTGTGAAGGCTGAAGGACTTAAGGAAGCCACAAAAGAAAAGTTGGAATCTAGCAGAGGTTGGTTAATGTACAGTCCATGACATAAAAGTACAAAGTGAAGCAGCAAGTGCTGATAGAGAAGCAGCAAGAAGTTATCCAGAAGATCTAGCTAAGATCATTAATGAAGGTGGATACTATACTAATTAATAGATTTTTAATGTAGAGGAGACAGCCTTCTGTTACAAGATGCATTTGACCAAATGATCAAACTGTAGTGGATGAAGCATTGCTTCTTATGATGGATAAGCAAAGAAAGTAGTTTCTTGAGATGGTATCTACTCCTTGTGATGATGCTGTGAAGATTACTGAAATGACAATGAAGGGTTTAGAATATTCCACAAACTTATACTTGATAAGGCAGTGGCAGGGTTTGAGAGGATGGCCTCCAGTTTTGAAAGAAATTCCACCGCAGGTAAAATGCTATCAAACAGCACTGCATGCTACAGAGAAGAAATCATTTGTGAAAGGAAGTCAACTATGGTGGCAAACTTCACCATTGTCTTATTCTCAGAAATTGCCATAGCCACCCCAACGTTCAACAACCACCATCACGCATCACTCAGCAGCCATCAACACTGAGGCAAGACCCTTGGCCAGCAAAAGGAGGACCACTCTGGGGCAGCTCCAGTGGCGCAGCGGCTTAGTGCTGCCTGCAGCCTGGGGCGTGATCCTGGAGACCTGGGATCGGGTCCCACATCGGGCTCCCTGCATGGAGCCTGCTTCCCCCTATGCCTGTGTCTCTGCATCTCTCTCTCTCTCTCTGAATAAATAAATAAAATCTTTAAAAAAAAAAAAAAGGGAGGATCATTCTGCTGAAAGCTCAGATGGGGAGCATTTTATAGCAATTACTTTTTTATTTATTTATTTATTTATTTATTTATTTATTATTTAATAACTTACTATTTAATTAAGATATGTGCATTGTTTTTTGAACAAGATCACATACTTAACAGACTACAGCATGGTGTCAAACACAACTTTCACATGCACTGAGGAAACAAATTCATTTGACTGACTTTTCTGCAGTAATTGCTTTATTGCAGTGATCTGGAACTGAAGGTGCAACATCAGGTATGTCTGTATCAACCTGATGAAATAGGTAGTATACCCACTCCCACTGTAAACCGAGGAAGCAGGCTGATTGAGGATAAGATGCCCATGGTCTCAGAGCTAGTGAGAGAATGAAGATGCAAGGCCCAGTTAGTGCATTCAAACTTTTAGCTGTTCTTGTGCACTGCCTATTTGGCATTAGCTTAAGCAGCCAACTATTATTTTGTTTGTGTGTAAAACTTACTTGGAGTAGCACTTATAGTTCTTTTACTTTTTCCAGGTTTGGAAAACCCATCTGCGTAGAGAGGCTTCTTTCTTTCTGCAGGTACCTTTGAATCTTCATTACCTGCATCCAAAGATACAGAACTAATCAAAGATTTTGCAACAAGTTCTCCCTATTAAGAAACATCTAGAAGTTGGGGGTGCCCAGCTGGTTCAGTCGGAGTATACAACTCTTCGTCTCAGGGTCATGAGTTCAAGTTCCACAGTGGGTGTAGAGATGACTGAAATAAAACTTAAAAGAAAAAAAGAAGGTCTAGAAGTTAACATGGGGGCATTTTCATGTGGAGTCTGCCAAGGTGATAGAAAAAATGAGCACAAAGAATGAGTTACAGTATCACTACATAGATCATATGCTTCAAGTAGGCAGAAATTTTATGCTTCCTGTATAGAAGTTACGTAAATATATGAGAAATGGAAGAACACTTTTTCAAAACTTTTCCTATGAATAGGTTATTGTAACTAGAACAATAATCCTATAAATCCTGGGGTGGCTGGCTGGTTCAATTGGTAGAGCATGCGACTCTTGATCTGAGACCCAAGTTAGGGAGAGAGATTACTCAAAAATAAAATCTTAAAAAAAAAAAAAAAAAAGAAAAAGAAAAAGATTCCACAATGCCACCCACCTAAGAAACATCCTTACTATTAGCATTTTGGCATATTTCCTCAGGTCCTCTACTTCCATACTTGTTTTCATTCTTTAAATCCAGCTAAAATCATGGTGTTATGTATTGGCTATTCTTCCTCACAACCATATTTTGGTATCTTTTTCAACTTGAGGCAATTTACTTAAAAATATCAAAGTGGGGGCAGTACCTGGGTGGTTTAGTCAGATGTCTGCCTTCAGTTCAGGTCATGATCCCAGGGTCCTGGCATCAAGCCCCACATCAGCCTCCCTGCTTGGCAGGGAGCCTGCTTCTCATTCTTCTCCCTGCTCATGCTCTCTCTCACTCTCTCAAATAAATAAATAAATAAAAATCTTTAAGGGCAGCCCCGGTGGCGCAGCGGTTTAGCGCCACCTGCAGCCCAGGGTGTGATCCTGGAGACCCTGGATCGAGTCCCACGTCGGGCTCTCTGCATGGAGCCTGCTTCTCCCTTTGCCTGTGTCTCTGCCTCTCATTCTCTGTGTCTCTATGAATAAATAAATAAAATCTTAAAAAAAAAAATCCAAGTGGGTTTTCAAGAAATATTACTTATAATCATACTGAAGGTTTCCCAATGCATCCATAAAACATAAAAGAATAACTGGATAGAGCAGGAGGGGCTGGAGCTTCTTAGACCTTGGCTCTAAAACCAGAAAGGTAAAGTTTCATGCAAAACAGGGTATTTGGAATGGAATAGAAAATGGAGAAAAAAACAACTTCACAAAGAAGCAACTCAGCAGAGTGATAAGCTGCTAACAAGCCACGACTTGTGCCTTCTGGAGGCAATGACTGACAATCACTCTGTGGAATTTCTGCCAAAAGTGCATGATCTAAATCTAACCCTCAGCACATATTAGACAAACCAAGGCAGAGACACCCCTAAAACTGGCCTGTGTTAAAAAATGTAAAGGTCTAAACAAAAAACAAACAAAAAACACACAGGGCAGCCCCGGTGGCACAGCGGTTTAGCGCCGCCTGCAGCCCAGGGCGTGATCCTGGATCGAGTCCCATGTCAGGCTCTCTGCATGAGGCCTGCTTCTCCCTCTGCCTGTGTCTCTGCCTGTGTCTCTGCCTCTCTCTCTGTGTCTCTATGAATAAATAAATAAAAATCTTAAAAAAAAAACACACACACACACATACACAGAAAGGGCAACATCCTCAAAGATAAAGGAAGACTGAAGTTAGACTAAACTACTCCAGGCTATAGTAGACTAAAGAGACAGCAGGATGAAACCAAGATTTTCCTTTGCTTTAATGGCCACGACTAGAATAAATCATGAAACCTAAATAAGGTCGTATATAGAACCACTTAGCAATTCTCACACTTCTAGTCTCAGGGTTGTGTTATATTCTTAAAAATTATGGAGGACCCTCCCATTTTTGTTTACATTCTATTTATCAGTATGGGCCATTAGATATTACAATCAAAACATTAAAAAAATCTGATATACTAAAAAACAATGTTCTTGTATGTTTAATAAATTTATGAAAAATGGCTAAGATTTTTTTTTAATTTATTTATTTATTTATTTACGATAGTCATACAGAGAGAGAGAGAGAGGCAGAGACACAGGCAGAGGGAGAAGCAGGCTCCATGCACCGGGAGCCCGACGTGGGATTCGATCCCGGGTCTCCAGGATCGCGCCCTGGGCCAAAGGCAGGCGCCAAACCGCTGCGCCACCCAGGGATCCCCGGCTAAGATTTTTAAAACAAAAATAGTGAGAAGAGATATTTTCACAATTTACTTAATGTCTGATAGCTGGATTCTGTTATTTGCTTCTGCATACAGTATGTTATGATATAGAAGTATAGATGAAAACAAATCTTGCTACAAACAGGTAGTTGAGGGAGGAGAGTACTGTAATACTAAGCCTTTTCAAGTAACTAGATATTCTTCTGATACGATGTTAAGTACCACTTGACAAGTGGTAGTTTCTTAAAGGTTAGTTGCAATGTGGAATATGAATCCATACCAATGAGATTTTGTATTTTGTATCCCATATATTTGTGAGAAAAAGTCTTGTGGGTTGGGACGCCTGGGTGGCTTAGCGGTTGAGTGTCACCTTTGGCTCAGGGAGTGGTCTTGGGGCACCGGGATAGGGATCGAGTCCCACATGGGGCTCCCTGTGGGGAGTCTGCCTCTCCTTCCTGTGTCTCTCATGAAATAAATAAACTCTTAAAGACAAACAAACAAAAAGTCTTGTGGGTCTATTTTTGTTTGTTTTATTTTAAGCTCTACGTCCAACATTGAGCTTGAACTCTCAATCCTGAGATCAAGAGTTGCATGCTCTACCAACTGAGCCATCCATGCAGCTGAGCCTAACATACTTTAAGAAACAAACACTGAGGGGCACCTGGAAGGCTCAGCGGTTGAGCGTCTGCCTTTGGCTCAGGAGGTGATCCCAGGGTTCCGGAGTCAAGTCCCACACTGGGCTCCTTGCAGGAAGCCTGCTTCTCCCTCTGCCTGTGTCTCTGCCTTTCTCTCTCTGTACTTCCCATGAATAAATAAATAAAATTGTAAAACAAAACAAAAACAAACACTGAAGTATTTAGGGTTAAGGGGCACATTTCTGTAACTTACTCTCAGGGAACAAAATGTATACAATACCTATATGGATGCATATATGTATATAAATATAGAGAAGGGCCAAAGTAAATGTGGCAAAAACATTAACATTTCAGACATCAAGAACATAGCAACACTTGGTACTATTCTTGCAACTTTAAGTCTGAAATTATGTCAAAATAAGTTTAAAAAAGACCTCTCACCAGAAACTATGTGATCCTATTTTTTGCTCTTCAAACAGCCTGTTTTTTTTTTTTTTTTTTTAAAGATTTTATTTATTTATTCATGAGAGACACAGAAAGACAGAGAGGCAGAGACGCAGACAGAGGGAGAAGCAGGCTCCATGCAGGGAGCCCGATGCGGGACTCGATCCTGGGTCTCCAGGATCACACCCCAGGCTGCAGGCGGCGCTAAACCGCTGCACCACCGGGGCTGCCCCAGCCTGTGTTTCATTACATGAACTTAACATGTCCATGCTTGTTTCTCCATGCCCTTGAACCTGGGCCCTGCAGCTAAGTCTCCCTGACAAGACGATTGGTGGAATAGCAGATACCAGTATTTCCACCACCACTTCTGACTCTTTGTCATTTCTATCTTGCTGTAAATCATGAGTTTAAATAGGGCTTATGAGGAATATTCATCAAAATTCCCCAGGGTGTTTATTAAAAATTGAAGGCTTGCAGGCTCAGTATCAGACACTCTACCTCTGGTAACTTTCCAAATTTAGTAAGACATTCAAAATTCTAGGGAAGAAGGGAAGGCTCAGCATTAGAAATTCTGCACAATAACTGCACGGTGGCCATGGAAGTGGGTCATCTCCACCCCTCAGGCTCTGCCTCAGGTGCGCAGACACGGTTGCTGGGGGAAAATGGACACAGAGACACTGTGGGAGTTGACAGGGTTCCCAAGGAACGAAATCATAAAGCGTCAAATCCTGTTAGGTCTGGGGGGACTGAAGTTTTCTGGTCTTATTAAAACAAACTTTTAGTTGATAAACTTTAGGGGAAAAGTTTTTAGAAAGTTAGAGACTAAGTATACGTTTATCATAATAAAAGAGGCAACTCTACTGGGAAGGTAGACTTTGTAGCCCCCTTTTAACGGTCTTTGTTGAGAAGACCATCAGCTTTGGGTACCTGGGTCTGGAGTAGGCCAGAAAGAGCTAATGGTGATGAGCAGAGCCCTCATTTTGTCAGAATAGAGATTAACTTCCCTGAACTTTCCAGCTGCCAATCTTACTCTGTTTTTTTCCACAACAGTACTAAAGATGACTTGATGGTCTACTGTATCTGGTTTAAACTTTCGCTTTCATTGCAGAACACTTAGGAGTTCTAAAGCATGGTCTTATGGGTTGAACTGTGTTCCTCAGAAAGGTATGTTGAAATATTTTTTTTAAACTGTTATGACTCATTTTTTTTTAATTTTTATTTATGATAGACACACACACACACACACAGAGAGGGGGGGGGGGCAGAGACACAGGCAGAGGGAGAAGCAGGCTCCATGCACCGGGAGCCCGATGCGGGATTCGATCCTGGGTCTCCAGGATCGCACCCTAGGCCAAAGGCAGGCGCTAAACCGCTGCGCCACCCAGGGATCCCTGTATGTTGAAATATTAAGGGTAAGAAACAGTAATAGGACTTCAAGAAAAAACTTCTAGTTTGTTATGGTAGTCCTAGGAAATGAACACACATGGGTCCCCTAGGAATATCAGGGTTTTGTTTTTACTTATTTGGCATACCATTTATTCTTCTTTTTCCTGTGGAAACTGCATTCTCCTCTCCTTGGTTCTCATCTAGTGGTGAAGGAACTTCTCCAACAGTTCTGAAATCCTGGTTTTCCTGCTTCTCTGGATCCTGGAAGTCAGTGTGATCACTTATTTTTATCTCTGAATGATCCTGCTACAAATGTTAAAAGGGAATAAATGATAAAAAGTCACCACTGCCTTCCAAATATAAGCACCCAAATTGACAAAGGGCTAAAGGAAGTAGGAGAATTAGATTTCTGAGTGGCAGAGTTGGGAATAGGACATACTAGGACCACTAAAAAGCATAAATGGCAAGAACAGCTCTCTGAGAGATGAGAAATTATCTGTCTAAATGGATAGTCTAACAGCCAATGGATTATAGGGAACTAGAAAATAAAAATTAGGACTGTGAATCTTAAAAAAACGGGGGGGGGGGGCAGGGGGCAGCCCACGTGACTCAGTGGTTTAGCGTTGCCTTCAGCCCAGGGTGTGATACTGGAGACCTGGGAGGGAGACAAGTCCCACGTCAGGCTCCCTGCATGGAGCCTGCTTCTCCCTCTGCCTGTGTGTCTGCCTCTCTCTTTCTCTCTCATGAATAAATAAAATCTTTAAAAAAAAAATTAGGACTGTGTTTTGTAAAGTTACATTTGGATGAGAGGATAAAAAAGAATAAAATCAGAGTCCTCTCAAAGTAACTGGAGGGGTGGTGGGCACCTGGGTGGCTCAGTGGTTTAGCATCTGCCTTCGGCTCAGGTTGTGATCCCGGGTCCTCGGATCGAGTCCCACATGGGGCTCCCCGCATGCAGCCTGCTTCTCCCTCTGCCTATGTCTCTGCCTCTCCTGAATTAAAAAAAAAAGTAATGAGGGAAGTGCGGAAGTGCCTGGCTAATCCTATGACCATTCTGCTGAATGACCAACTGAAGAGTGATCACTAGATCAAAGGCCAGGTTGAAAAGAAAAAAAAAAATAAAAATAAAAAGAAAAACCTTACTGACACTGGTTTCTCTTTCCTTATTATCCCTCACTTAAGTGAGTGTTTAATTCATTTTCATATTTATTTGACCAATATTGAACTTGTGCTTAATCCTTAGTGAGTGTTTCCAAGAGTTAGCACCCAGGGTGTGAGGATGACCAGCGTGGCCTCAGGTCTGTGATTTCATGGAGCTTACAGCACACAGTTTACAACCATTTGATACCAAAGAAATTCAGATAGAAAGTTTCCTAAGAATATACCAATTTTGGCACAGGTGGTGGTCAAGATTGGTACACGTCCATTCACCTGGGAGTCAGGGTTCTTGCACCTTCTCCTGGTTTTGATGATGTGGCCAACTGGCTCCCTCTTAGCTTGTTCCTGGCTGCTCATCTGCATCTCAGTCTCATCCCAGGAGGATGCAGAAGTTTGAGTTCCATTCTAAAAAGAAAGACATTAATCTTCCATGTCCTATTTTTAGAGTTATAATGTGCAGGAAGAATCAGAATTTAAACTGAATAAAAACCGTATTTTACAAAAGGTAATTTTAAAACTGTCTTGTACTAAATTATAGGCCTGAAGAAGAATTTTAGAGGGTTTGAGAAGAAGCAATCTCATTTAACAACCCCAGCTTAGTGGCAGGTTCGCATCCTCCCAGTGGATGGCAGCTCCCCAGTGGCGGCTGCTTGCTTGACTCGGTCTGGGTCCTGTGCCAGACTTTGTCCCTGGCATGCATAGCCCCATCCAGGAAGAAGCTCTGATGTGTGAATCGTGAGTTTGCTCAAGCAAGTCAGACACCTCCCACGGAATAACTAGACCTGAGGACTAAGATGGAAGAGCTGGACCAGTAGAAGGCCAGGGCCAGCTCCCAAGCCCCCCAACAGGTCTCTCTCAGGAAGGCCGTGGCTGCTGCCCTGGCCCTGAATGGGGAATCCACAATGGGTTGCAGGAAAGAGTCCCGCCCAAAATCTATCATCATCTACTGGTCAGAAAATGAGAAACTGGAGGAGCCTGGGGAACTAGAAGGTGGAGACCAGCCTGATGAAGAGGAGGGAGATGATTTTCTAGACTATCCTACAGATGATGATATATGGAACATGCCCGTGGACAGCCGCTATGTCACATTAACTGGCACCATCACACCACGAAAAGAAAAAGGGCCAGATGGTAGACATCCACGTCACACTGACAGAGAAGGAGCTGCAAGAATTGACCAAGCCTCAAGGGTCATCAAAGGAGATAACACCTGAAGACATAAAGGCCTGCCAAATGGGAGGAGACCGTGGGCCCCGTTTGGTCCTCTGGACGCTGGTCGGTCTGCCTGTGGTCTTTATTCTCTCTTTTGTTGTCTTTCTTTTCTTTCTTTCCTTTCTTATCTATTTATTTTTGCTGTTGTCTCTTTCTACTATGGCACTATCACCTGGTACAACATCTTCCTTGTGTACAACGAGGAGAGGACCTTCTGGCACAAGATCTCATGTTGCCCTTGCCTCATTCTCTTCTATCCAGCGCTCATCATGGCCATGGCCTCTTCCCTGGGCCTCTATGCCACTGTGGTCCAGCTCTTATGGTCCAGGGGAGCATGGTGGCAAGCTGCCCGGGACATGGAGAAAGGCTTCTATGTTAGCTCTGCAGCAAGCTAGGTCTGGAGGGCTTTTCTCCCTACAGCATTGTAGAGTTGCTTAAATCGGACAATATTCCAGGCAATCTCTCCAATAAGGACCCCACCCAGGAAGTAGAAACTTCTACTGTCTAAACTTCCAAAAACTTATGTCCTTCTCTCATCTCAGTAGCCTATATGTTGTCTTCCAATTGCAGAAGATTCTTCCTTTAAATTAGCCCCCTACCTCTCTCAGTTCTGGAAAATTGTAGCCACACTATTCTGTTCTACCATCTCAGTGGTTCCAGGAGGGCAGGGAACAGAAAAGCAATTTATGCCAAAGCTGTCTATCCATGGATGAATTCTCATTTCCTGCTCTAAAATAACCATTGATCTGGGACAAGGAGCTCAGTTTTAAGTTCAGGAGTTTGAAGATGTTACCGGTCCCTGGAAACCAGGGGAGTATGTGACTAAATGTGACGGGAAAACGGAGGCTCCAGGGAGACCAAGTTCACCAAAAAGATAAGTAGGATGGAGAGAAACACTTAGGACAGGGCTACCACAGTACAGCAGGATGTGAAGATTTTTGTGCATTACTTAGATTTTAATATAGTGGCATGTAATTCAAATCCTAAAATATCAGTGGTTTAAACAAGATAGAAGTTTCATTCTTTCTTGTGCAGAAGTCTGGAGGCCGACCATCGGGGTACCTGACCAAGTCATCCAAATCCCAGGCTTTATTCCCCTACCATTAGGAGGATGTAGCTGTTTTTTTCTTTTAAGGAGACTTCTTTGGGGAAGTCTCACTCAACACTTCCTATTATTTCATTGGCCAGGCCTTAGTCACATGACCTCACAGGCAAAAGAGGCTGAGAAATGTAGTCTTTTGGTTAAGCAGCTATAGTCTAAATATATGGGTTCTGCTAATTTAAGCAAAAAAAAAGAAAACATGGCTATTTTGGTAGGCATAAAGAGTCTCTGCCTCCTGGTAATTATTTAAATATATTCAGATCCCAAACTGCTAATACAGTTGTGTTTATTTATTTATTCAGGACTGAATGTTACATAGAGAATTTATAATAGATACTAGCTATATATACTTTGTATATGCTACCAATAGATATTAGCAGCTCATGTACTTTGCAATTAGTCTGTAATGTCATGTGGTTTCAGGGTTTTTAGAAGGGAAGAGTTGAATATAATTAGTAGCATAACTTTTTTCCTGTAGTGAAGGTAGGACTGGGGAGTGATTATTTAATGCAACCTACATATTAAAGACTGTGGAGGGAGGGATTGCAAACTTCCCCCAACAGGTTTCAGTAGCCCTAACTGCTCAAAGACAGGATTAGCTTTCTGTTGTTTGGCAAGACCTCACAGCCTCATTCACTCAGACTCTGCTGGAATATTTTGGCTGTGCTATGAAAATTGTGTCCTCCTGGCCACTAAGGGGTGTACACCAGATGAATCTAGATTCATAGAATCTGAACTTTTTTTCCTATTTAAATTTAGTCCAGAGGGTGTCTAATTTCAAAACAAATCAAATCCCAAGAGATGAAGCAGATTTTTTTTTTTTTTTTTTTTTTGGAGGTTTGGGTCTTTACAAGAACACCTGATGCCCATTTCTTGTTAACGTCTCAGGAAGAAGTACTGTTAAGAACTGTGAATCAAACCAGATGGGTCAGTAGTGCTCTCCTACAGAAGGACAGGGACATTTGCCAAAAAAGTATGCTGAACACCATTTTCAGAAGAACGCCTTTTAAAAACAATAGAAACAACAATTATAATTAGTTTCACACAAAACAAAACTGCCCAGCATTTTGAAAGTAAACTTGGTGTTCTCTGGTGCTTTTGCAAAAATGTAAACAATTGAAATGAAGACAAAGAAAATAAAAATGAATTTAAAAAAAAAAAACAAAAACCCCAGCTTAAAAATTAGGCTAAGAAAGCATTCAAAGTTTTCTTAGTTGAGTAAATAAGCAAATTAGCATTAATTTTTTTGGATAGACACACCGTGCTCTAATAATTAAAACTAATATCACACCTTGTAATATTGGGGTACACATTCACATGAGTTATCTCATTTATTCCTCAAAGACTATGAGATAGGTACTAACCTTATTCTCAGTTCACAGAAGGGGAAACTGAGGCTTGGAGTCTAACTCATCCAAAGCCAAAATAAGGGAGTTAGTGAGACTGACAACTGTACAACCATACACTAAAAGAGCTACATTATCAGAACAGCATGGTACAAGTACCAGAATATCCCATACAGACTTATTTATATAAGAACTCATCGTTTGATAACAGTTGTCCTTCATATTAATGGGGGAAGACTAGATTCATGATTCATATCTTTTTGGTGGGGCAAGGGAAATGAACCTTGATCCTTTTTTTTCCACACCAAAATGCAGTCTGGATGGGTAAAAGACTTAAATGTAAAAAATCAAACTATGGAAGCACTAGGGAAAAAAAAATAGGTGAGGCTTGGTTTGCTTTTGGTGTTTTTGTTTTTATACATGAATTTTAATTTTTTGAAATAGACTAATATTTTATACACATGTGGCTAAAAAAAATTATGAAGTACTGAAGAGATTATAATGGGAAGCCTCTGCCCTGGCCTCCCATTTCCAGGGCTTCGCTGCAGGTGGTTGCTTATGCAGCACGTGCAGTTTGGGGGGGGGGGGCACTCATTTGTATTTGCAGCAGCCATTTGTAGCGCCTATCGTGGGCTGCAGCTTAGCTCACTGGTCCCAGTCTCCTCTCCCATCTTCTCCCTGAGAGCACCACACCACTTCACTCTATTAGCTACCTTTGCTGCTTTAAAGACTCTGAAAACTTTAAATCTCGTCCCACAGCTACAGAAAACATCCTGTAAGATCCAAATACAGAATCCTTCTACTTTTTCACCTCTTGTCTTTTCTTGCTCAATGTCTATCATCTATTCTCAAGTTGTTAACATTAATAGCTTGTTATATAACCTTAATTGAATCATCTGTGCCTTGTCTGTGTAGCTTGATTCCAGTTTATAAATCATTAAAGTTCTTGAGGCTTTTTTTTTTAAAGCTTTTGTTTGTTTTCTGTGTCATCTGGGTCTCCTTTAGGGTCATCTTTTTATTTATCTTAAGCTCTCTCACACTGCAGGCTTCCCCTCAAATGTCTGCTGTTGGCTGTCTACCCTATTTCAAAACAAGAAAAACCTCGTTAGGGGCTTGGATGTGTGGGAGGGCCTTATCTGGTGGGGTCAGATCTACTAAGGTCCTTAGGTGAGGAGGAGGCTGTTATGCAAGGGAATCCTTGAATGCCAGACGACAGGCCTAAGCTTGATAGTATTGAAATTCCTTACAGAGAAACCTTCCAGTATTTTAAACAGTACTGACAACTGGCACTCTCACATGGAAGTGGTGGGTAGAGTGCTTTGTATCCTGATTTTTCACTTCATTTCACTGTGGTGCCTAGACCCCATCCTCTGAGAGCTGATTTAGTTGGCTTGGGGCTTGATAAGGCCTATATATATATATATATATATATATATATATATATAACCATTTGTAAAAAGCTCCCCAAATGATTCTCTCATATATCCTGCAATGAGAACCACAATATAAATATAAAATGTATGTGTTGAAAGTCAATAAGGAGGCTTAGAAAATGGCACGTTTAGACTTCTGTATGTTACAGAAGTGAAATAGTTCTAAGTGATATAAAGTCCAGGATGAAGACTGGCAAGGAAAGTTACAGGAGCTTAGGGCACCTGAGTGGCTCAGTGGTTGAGGGTCTGCCTTCAGCTCAGGTAGTGATCCTAGGGTCCTGGGACTGAGTCCCGCATTAAAAAAAAAAAAAAAAAAAAGTTACAGGAGCTAAGGAACAAGGAAACAAGGGTGGTAAAGGACATCTAGATGTACCCATCAATTCACCCCAAAGAAGGTCAGCAAATGAAAGGTGAAAACAGGTAAACAAATTCAAAGGTGGGATACATGAGAGTAGAAAGATGCTATCTGGATCCCACTTCCCAACTCCCTGGATAGTCATATGGAAGAAAAAAACTGCTTCTACTATAGAAGTGACATCTTTGGGTTACAGGTATTGTTGGAATATAGAGACACTTTTAAAGTACTTATTTAGGGCAGCCCCAGTGGCTTAGCGGTTTAGCGCCACCTTTAGCCTGGGGCGTGATCCTGGAGTCCCAGGATCGAGTCCCATGTTGAGCTCCCTGCATGGAGCCTGCTTCTCCCTCTGACTGTCTAATAAATAAATAAAAATCTTAAAAAAAAATAAAATACTTATTTAGCCTTCCTGCAGGGACTCCATATTAGCAGAGTGCAGGACAAGTCTGTTAGCACAACTCTGGAGATTGCTTGTTTTAATCCCATGCATCTTAAACACACTGATGTGTGGGAGGCTGACCCAGATCAACGAGGAGGTGTTCAATCCTGAATGCACCATGATGTTCCTGTAATAGACTTGTCTAACTCCAACTCTGACGAGGCCCCCTGGTTAGAGCAAGGGAGTCCTTGGCACACAGCCAGACTGACCCACATACAAAACTACTCCAACTCATATAACTAAGGCTGACCTACAGTGCAAGAACAAGGATTCCATAAGATACGATGTCCCACTCACTCAGATGTAGGGGGTCTGGAAGTTTGCACATCTGGTCAATTCTTGGCAACATCAATGATCTCTTTGCTATGTACTTGGACTGTGTTGACTCCTTCTGTAGCCTTAGATTATTAATAAACTCTGTGTCAGGTCTTCCTAACAATCTAAGCTCATTATTGAGGGGTGTGTGGGTGGTTCAGTCCTTTGAATGGTGGCTCCTGATTTCAGCTCTGGTCATGATCTTGGGGGTCCTGAGATTGAGCCATGCCACCAGCTCTCTGCTCAGTGGGGAGTCTGCTGAGAATTCTTTCTTGCTCTCTACCCCGCCTCCTGTAACCGCTTATGTACATGTTTTCCCTAAAAATAAGTCAGCCTAAAGATTTATTTAAGATGTTTTTGAGAGAAAGAGAACTTGCAAGCGAGAGCGCACAAGTGGGGTGTGGGATGAGGGGAGGTAGGATGGCGTAGAGAGGGAGAGGGAAAAGCAGACCCCAGGCTGAGGAGGGAACCTGATATGGTGCTTGATTCCAGGACCCTAGGATCATGATCTGAGCTGAAGGCAGCCGCTTAACAGGTTTCACCATCCAGGTGTCCTAAGCTCACTATTGATAGATTCAACACTTAGGAACTCTTTATCTGACTGAATTTGGACTATCATCATGCTTTTATGAAATTTTTTCAAAATGGAACGGCCCTGGGATGCCTGGGTGGCTCAGCATTTGGGTGTCTGCCTTCGGCTCAGGGCATGATGCTGGGATCCAGGATCTAGTCCTGCATCGGGCTCCTTTTGGGGAGCCTGCTTCTCCCTCTGCCTATCTTTCTCTGTGTCTCTCATGAATAAATAGATAAAATCTTAAAAAAAAAAAAAAGGCCTTTAAGATGAATTCGAAATACACTAATTTTAGTCTATTAACTACCATCCAAACTAAAATCTTGATTTCAAATGGCTCTAATCATGTATCCTTATTAAAAGAATTATATATACATATATATATATAATTCTCTATATATAGACAGATTGAGATCTAGTTGATGTAAATTCTTAAAGCTAGAATTCAAAATTAATCCTTTTTTGTTATTTTACGTTAATTAAACCTGGAACCAAAAAAAATTTTGCCTTACATTTTAAAAAATTTATGTATATTTTTTAAGTAGACTCCATACCCAGCATGAAGCCCAATGCGGGGCTTGAACACATGACCCTGAGATTAAGACCTGAGCTGAGATCAAAAGTTGGATGCATAAGCAACTGAACTACCCAGATGACCCAAAACAAATCTGAGTATTAATGATTTTAAATGTTTATAACTTGGAATATAGTTATAGAAGTAGTAAAGACAGGGAGGGGGATGAGGGAGGCCAGTGGCTAGATTTTTTATTCATGTTTATATTTACCTTCATTTCCAGATAGATAATGGATGCTCTTCAAAGCCTAGGGCTTAAGATCTTTCTGGATTTTCCTCTATTTTGAGTTTAGAATCCTGGCCCTAACACTGCACCCACGGAATATGTCAGGCCTGAGGCAGTGATGAGAACTTCCTCCCCTATTATTCTGGTTTACAGTTCACCAGAAGCCACTTTTACAAGCCCTATATCATTTGATTTTTCTTTTTTTTTTTCATTTGATTTTTCTTAACATTGAATTTAGCAAAGCAGATGTTGTGCCCATTTTAAACAATAGGAAACTAAGGCATTTGAGTTTTCCAAGATCACATAAAAAGAAATGACAACAGCTACTTAACCTGGATTTTTTTGGGCTTCAAATCCTGTTACTTCCTTGCTCACACCAAGCTAGCTCTTGTAATGTTTGGCAACTAGTAATTAATTAGCCTTTGCATTTTTATGAGAACATCTTATTCAACACGTTACTCACTACTAGGCAGTTGCTCTATAACAAATAGTTATTATGAAAGGATTTATTACCAATAATGATTTCTTTGGGGATAAACAGCATGTCTTGAGTTTCACTAGTTGTCTTTTTTTATTTTTTATTTTTTTTACACTAGTTGTCTTTACCACTCATTATTTAAATATAGTTGCTGTAGTAATAGGTGATAAAAAAAAAAATCTTACTTACCTGACTCTCATTTTCTTTTTTTGCTTCATCTTTAAGGTAGGCTTTCAAGGCTTTTAACAACTTGTCTGCCTGCAGGAGAGTTAAAGTAGGGCCAGAAATCAAGTAACCAAAACAGATACATTATTAACTTTCCTGTTTTTGAGGATAATTGTTTTCCTGTTCTTATATTCCTCCAATGTCCTCTGGGCAGGCTCTGGGAACAGAGGGACAACCAAGACAGAACTGGCCCCACACAGATTTCACGGGCAAATGGGGAAGTCAGGCAGGGAAAGAGCCATGACGACTGAGAGCTGAGAGCCAGCATGAGGAGGCCCAGACTGTGGTGCAGGAACACAGATAGGCTCAGCTGCCAAGGTCTGGGCTGGCGGGATAGACGTCATCAGGTAACTGGACATGCCAGTTCTAAGATGAAGGCACAATGTCTGTAGTTGCTGAGGTCTGAAGGATGAACACGACAGCAGTGGCCAGAGGGACGAGGTAAAGATATGGCACGGGAAGGCAAGGAGGGTGGAGATTGGGGAACTCAAGTTCAGTGTGGCTGGAACATGGAATGGTTAAGGGAAAGGGAGAGAAGACACTGTAAAAGGGGGCAGGGGCCAATCCTGCCAGGCCTTGTAAGCCTGTAAGAGTAGGAACCCTCAGAGCAAAAGGCAGTGTCTGAAGAGTCTATAGCAGTGCCGTAGGGGGACTAATTTTGCAGTACTCTAGCTGTACAATGTGCCAGATGCATTTGATGGCAGAAAGACAGAAGTCAGGAGAGCAGCTGGGAGGCTGTTATAAGGAAACCAGAAAGGACCGTGGCCTGAGCTGGAGTCTGGGCTAAGGCAATTATGGACATATTAGAAACCTTTTTAGGAAGTAAAATCAGTATGAACATAGGGGTTGAGGAGTAGTGAAACTTTATTACACCCAGGTTTCTGGCTTGGACAGCTGATGGAACATGCTGAGGGTCTCTCAGATGGGGAATGCCAAACACAGGCAGGCTTGGGAGGAGGATGGTTACAGGTCCCTGGAGCAAAGGGACCCCTAGTTTCTCTTCCTACCACAAGAAACCTTCCCTTTCTGAAAGAGATAGACTAATCTGATTGATTATATTTTCTTGTGCTTTTAAAAAGTCAAGCACATTGGTTGGGTTGTCTTTTCCTCCTCTTCCACTCAGCCATGCAGCTGAGAACCAGATATTTTCTTTGCAATGTGGGCCCAGCCACCACATCTCATACCATTTATTACAGGCCATGTGTCCAGGAGAGGGGCAGAGATCCAAATTTGGTTTGGGCTTTAGGTGACAGGTGTGAAGCACATCCCCCAGCCAGTTTACCAGTACGCCCTACATCAAGTTCTCAGGCACCATACCAGCTTGTAATAAAGTGGTGCTTATTTCCTATTTGCTGTTGTTCCTTGAATCTCTCTTGGGATCTTCTCTGTGAAAGGGGTGATTGGCAGGGCAGAATTCAGCTATTCTTGGTTCTTCAATAATTTTTTCCCCAACTACTTCATTTGTTGACATATAAAAAGCTATAGATATTTAATACATACAATTTCATGTGTTTGAAAGTAAATGTATACCTGCAAAACCATTATTACAATCATGAGCTTCTTTGTCACAAATAGTTTCCTTCTGCCCTCTTTGGGTTTTGTTTTTTTCTGGTTTTAAGAACACTTTGCGTAAGACCTATCTTTGCACATTACGTATACCATACAGTATTATTAATCACAGGCTCTCCATTGTACAGTTTCCAGAACACTTTCTTAAAATAACACAAAAACCTCATCAAATATGTGACAATGATGAAACAAGGTACCTGTGGCAGGGCCAAATCAGGGCATGTTAACAGGTTAAATATTATGGGGTGATGCTCAAGAGAGCTGAGGAGGAGGTACAGATGTTAGTATCAGTACTACTCCCTCATCCCCTTCAACAAGCATTTATCATGTTGCATACTGTTCCAGGCAACGCAGAGGCAGTGATGAACCAGAGAGACAAGGTTTCCACTCTCTAGGAACTTCCAGGGGTGGGCTACTGGGGAAAGAGCCTATTAATGAAATGAGCTAAAAATAAGGGATATGACATCAGGTGCTACCAGAAAATTAAACTGGGGACTGGGGTAGGTTGCTACCTGAGTTAGAAGAGTCAGGAAAGGCCTCTCAGATGTGGTGACTTTTAAGTGGAAATGTGAACAAGCAGCAGGTGAAGATGTGGGGAGAGCATTCCATTAGAGGGCACATCAAGCCCTGAGGTGGGCTGGTGAACTGAAGGACAGAAAGAAGCCAGTGTCGTGAGCATGGTGAACATTGGGGTGAACCAGAGCAGAGAGGCCAGAAGGAACCAGAGGCTGGGTCAAGTAGAGGGGTACAGGCCACAACAACATGTGTTTCTTCCTAATAACTTTTTATTACAAAAACGTCAAGTCCACAGAAAAACTGAAACGTACAATAAACACTCTTGTTCTCCACACCTAGATTCAGCAATCACTAATATGGTCTCATATTTGCCTCATGTATATAATATGTATTTCTTGCCAATCTCTTTGAAAATAAATCCCAGTCATCACGATATTTTCCCACTAAATACATCAGCCACACCTCCTAAAAATAAGGGGCTGTTCTCCTATATAACCTCTAATGTGTTATCATATCTAGGAAAAATATTAATTTCCTAATATCCTCTGATATGTAGCCCCAAATCAAATTTCCTCAATTGTGTCAAATTTTAACTTTTTTCTTTTTTAAAAATTTTCCTCCAAATCAGGAGCAAACCAAGTTTCTCACATTACATTGGCAGGAGTCTGGATTTTATTTTAGGTGTGAGGCACCTAAAATAATTAGGTAAGAGCAATTTCAGTAGAAAAGAAAAAAAGAAATTGAGCAGTAAATGAAAGACAAATGGTCAGGGAAGAGGTTATTTTTTTTCTTAAAGGCTATTAAGGCCTGATTGCATGCAGTTGAATGGGAGAAACTGATGTGGGAGAGGAGCTAATTGCAGGTATGTAGCCCTAGAGGTGGGAACAAGGATCCCCAGCACAAACAGCAAGGCTGCCTTTAGGCAAAGGTAGAGTACAAGGGGACAGGTATGTGATGGCCTGAGGGTTTGATGGTGGAAAGGTGCAAATGCTCAGCTGACTGTATACATTTTTCCATAAACTATGAGGAAATGTCATCAAGGGGAAAGGGAGCCAATTTGAGGTGAGAAGATAGTAAATAATTGTCCTCAAAAACGGGAAGGTTAATGACTACCAAGGAAGCATAGGAGAATCAAATGCCCATTTTACAACTTATGGTCATAAATTTAAATCCATTCAACAAGGTTAGGGGATTTTCTACAGGCAGGGTCAGCTGGTTAGGGAGGGGAAGGAGAGGGACATAACCAAAGTACCTTATTATACCTAACAAAATTAAATATACCTTAATTTGATAACTAGTCCAAGTTTAATTTTCAATTGTCTCAAACGGGTCTTTCTATATAGTTGCTTATAATAATGCCTTATATGGTCAACCATGGGAAATAGTACCTCTCAATAAGTATTTATCAACACCCACTGTGTGCCAGGTACTGTGTGCTAGAGAGGCAATGGGGTCTATAGAGACCAGAAATATTTTACTATTCCACTCTATGAAAACAGGTGATAATTGGCTAACCCAGATCAGGTACCTGAAGAGAACTACAAGAGGGACTTTTTTTTAAAAGATTTTATTTATTCATGAGAGAGAGGTAGAGGCACAGTCAGACAGAGAAGCAGGCTGCATGCAATGAGCCTGATGTGGGACTTGAACCTGGGAATCCAGGATCACACCTTGAGCCAAAGGCAGGCACTCAACCGCTGAGCCACCCAGGCGTCCCTACAAGAGGGACTTTTAGAAGAAGATCTCACAGGCAGATCTCAGCAGTTTAGCGCCGCCTTCAGCCCAGCGTGTGATCCTGGAGACACGGGATCCAGTCCCGCGTCAAGCTCCCTGCATGGAGCTGCTTCTCCCTCTGCCTGTGTCTCTGCCCCTCTCTCTCTCCCTGTGTCTCTCCCCCTCTCTCTCTCCCTGTGTCTCTCATGAATAAATAAATAAAATCTTTTTTAAAAAAAGAAAAGAAAAAGATCTTACTTTCAGTAACTCTTCAGAAACCCAAACGGTAATTGAGGCCTTAATGTAATCCAGAGCTCTGAACTTAGGAAGCCTCCACTGTAACTCTCTTGCCACTGTCTGGAGCATTATTCTAGCACTGCCAACAAGCTGAAAATAATTATCCAGCATCTCCTATATAAGATATACTGTGCTTAGTGTTGTAAAGACCTTCCAAGGAGCATGGATAAGATTCTTGTTCAAGAAACTTAACTTTTAGTGGAGAGGATAACACAATACACAAATAACCAGAGTGCAAGGAGAAAGCTTACAAGTGCTCAAAGAGAGTACCTGAAATTAAACTGCTTTATTTTTATTTTTTTTTTAATTTATGATAGTCATAGAGAGAGAGAGAGAGGCAGAGACACAGGCAGAGGGAGAAGCAGGCTCCACGCACCGGGAGCCCGACGTGGGATTCGATCCCAAGTCTCCAGAATCGCGCCCTGGGCCAAAGGCAGGCGCCAAACCGCTGCGCCACCCAGGGATCCCTTAAAGTGCTTTAAAAGCGTATAGTGGGGCAGCCCGGGTGGCTCAGCGGTTTAGCGCCACCTTCAGCCCAGGGCGTGATCCTGTAGACCTGGGATGGAGTCCCACGTCAGGCTCCCTGCATGGAGCCTGCTTTTCCCTCTGCCTGTGTCTCTGCCTCTGGGTCTCATGAATAAATTTTAAAAATCTTAAAAAAAAAAAAAAAAAAAAAAGCACATGGTGTTCCTGGGATTACAGGGATGGTGGGCCTGTGACCAAGGGACTGAAGAGGAGATGAAGTGCCAAGGCACGGATACTTCTGGTAGACTCTGAAGAGCAGCTGGAAATTATTAATGCAAATAAAGAAGAGAGAGAGAAGGGAATTCGAGGCCAAAAGGTCAAAATTAGCAAAAGAAGACTAAGGACCAGGTGTACAGGTTGGATGCTAAGCTGTCTTGAATAAGATTCCAGCCAGACTACAAAAAGCTTAAGGGAACTAAGCTAAGGAATTAAGGCTTTGTTTATGAAGTAGTATTGGGGATGCCATTAAAAAAAAACTACAGCTCAGGAGCAGCTGGGTAGCTCAGTGCTTGACTGTCCGCCTTTGGCTCAGGTGGTGATGGGGGTCCTGGGATCCAGTCCCGCATCAGGCTCCCCACAGGGAGCCTGCTTCTCCCTCTGCCCAGGTCTCTGCGTCTCTCATGAATAAATAAAATCTTACCTCCAAAGACACTCCTTTACTATTAAGCCCTAACAGGTACCTGGGCACTGATTAGTTTTTTTTAAATCTCTTAAAAACATTTGTAATGCCTGATTTAGGCATTCACGCAGTGTACATACCACGCCCTGCAGAGCACACCTCCAGAGTACCCGTAAGTATTCTGTGGGAAAACTCCACTAAAGAACATAGAGGCCCCAATTCCAAATTGCATCCCCACATTTTCCCCTCAACGTTTTGCAGCGTCGGAGTCAAAGGCCTTACCAGTTCTGAAACAGAACACTAGCACAATGGTAATAACAAAATAATGATCAATTCTAGGTCAGGGCTGCGTTATAAAAACTTCTCCAAGTGGTGGTCCTCTAAAAAAGTCATCCTTTCTTCCAGGTCCTCCAATTGAGTATTAAGGGGTTTGGGGCTCATTTACAATTCACAGAATTGTTGCTGTTTCGATTTTTCCAAAAGCCAAGACAATGATTTCCGCGACCGCCTAACGACCTGAATTAGACACAGCATCCCTGAGCCTGCATTTCCGAGATTAACTCCGGAGTACTTCTAATAAAGCCAAACCAAACAAACCTTTTTGAAGTCAAGGCCTGTGTGCTCCCCCAGAAAAGTCAGCCTCAAAATAAGGTGGATACTATGGCCCCCTCTCCGTTCTGCGTAGCTGGAGGGACAGCTAGCTCAGTCCGCACGGGGCGGAGCGGGCTCCCGTTCAGTCCTTTCCCACCAGGTCTCCCGGAGGCCGCCCTTAATGCCCGGCCCGTTACCCGCTTCGTACCCTCAGGTTAGCCCGGAGGCCGAGACTCTTGGCCAAGTTCTGCAGGTCGCTGTACTTGAAGGAGTCAAGCTCCTCAAGGGAGGGTATGGCCATGGCGAGCTGCATCCAGGCGACCACGCAGAGGACGCGTACCCCACACACAGCAAAGCAGTTCAAAACTCAGGCGCCACAGAGAGCGTTGGCCAAACCGAACTTTATAGAGAGTTTAAATTGAAAATACTGCACTCCTATTGGTTAAAAATGCTGTGAAGGCGGGGTTTCCTGGCGCTGACCAATAGAAACAACGATGCTCCACCCATCAGACGCCTGTTTCCCCCACCCCCAAAAACGCTTCGGCGCCGAAGGGCGTGTCCAGGCAGTGGGGCGGGACAGAGCGCCCGGCTCACGACGTCCAATGAGGATGCAGGAATTGTGCTTGGGCGGGGCCAGGTGCGTGTTTGCAGCGGAGGCGCGGGCTGCGGGAAAATGGCCGCTCGGCCGCGGCGGCACCGTTTGCGATCTGCAAAGCTTCCGCGGGGTGACTTTTGTGACGGCGCTAAGAAGACAACTGACGAATCTTGTACGACTTCTATGGAGTGGGACACGCAGGTAGTGAACGGATCCTCGCCGCTTGGCCCCGCGGGCCTGGGTGCGGAGAAGCTGCCATCCGGCCCGCGGCTGCCGTCGTGGCTGCAGCCCGAGAGGTGCGCCGTGTTCCAATGCGCACAGTGCCACGCCGTGCTCGCTGACTCTGTGCACCTCGCCTGGGACCTGTCGCGGTCCCTCGGAGCCGTGGTCTTCTCCAGTGAGTGGGGGCGGAGCCTGAGGGAGGTGGAGGAGGGCCAGAGTGGGGGTTCCCTCTCTCTCACGGGATGGTCCAGAGCGGGTGGTGAAAACTGCGGGGTGAAGATTTGGAAGGAAATTAACCCCACTGCCTGGCAGGGGTGGTGGCAACTTTTCATGATTTTTGTGGCCACGATGAGTCTACCTGTAGCGGGTAGGTTTTCCCTTTCAAGGCTTCACAGGTACTCCATCTGACCCCTGTTTGTCTTCTTAGGAGTCACAAATAACGTGGTTTTGGACGCTCCCTTTCTAGTTGGCATTGAAGGTTTGCTCAAAGGCAGGTATGTACTGAGATCTCGATTGGTTTCTAGTCCCTCAGTAAGACTGAGGAACCTAGAACCGACATGTAGAAGGGGAAAATAGTTCTTATTTGCGCTAGAGGAAAACTTTATTCAGTCCTTACGCTGTTTGAAGGATGTTTCTTTTACCTGTTTGAGACTTGTAGGAACTCGATGTATTAATGAAATGGAAAGGTTGTGTTTGTGTGTAGATTTTAAGATCTTTCTGAGGGCCACATCTCTAGTGGCTTGTGCAAATGAAGTAAGGCTAAGAAAGTTGTGTCTAGTATGGGAAAAGGGAGAAAAGTACCTTTGCTGTGTAGTGAGAATCACTATAAAATACAATCCTTTGAAATAACTAGGACTTTTAAATTTGCATTTTACCTGGAGTTTGTAATAAGCCATGGTAGGACTAATTCTTTTGGAATCCAGGAAACTTGGGGAAGAACACAAGTTGAATGTTATGTACTTGAATACTGCGGGTAAACTTTGCATTTAGTCTGTGCTTTGATCTCCAAGTGACCATAAAATATTCAATGAATATAGTATTACAAGGCTCCTCAATTTTGAGTGTTGGCTTAACAGCAGAACATTCTGACCACAGTTCTGTTCAGTTTTAGGGTTAAATAAGGTACAGGAATTTTTAGTTGCTTTACTTAGTATACATGCCAGAGTGTCCTCTTTCCACCCAAAGGGTATAGGGTGAAAAAGAGTGGTGGCTTGCTTGGAATTGGGTCATTTGGGGCCAGACGCAGGAGCTCTCCAAATATCTTTCGTAGAATAGGATAATGCATCTAGACACATGCTGTCAAATACTGTAACCATTAGCCACATATAGCTGTTGAGCACTTAAAATATGGCCATCCTGAATTGAGAAATACTGTGAGTGCAAAATACACACTGGATTTTGAAACTTGATACAAAAAAATTAACAGTTTAAAAATATTTATGGGACGCCTGGGTGGCTCAGCGATTAAAGCGTCTGCCTTTGGCTCAGGGCATGATCCTGGAGTCCTGGGATCGAGTCCTACATCGGGCTCCCTGCATGGAGCCTGCTTCTCCCTCTGCCTGTGTCTCTGCCTCTCGCTCTGTCTCTCATGAATAAATAAAATCTTTAAAAAAGGGATCCCTGGGTGGCGCAGCGGTTTAGCGCCTGCCTTTGGCCCAGGGCGCGATCCTGGAGACCCGGGATCGAATCCCACGTCAGGCTCCCGGTGCATGGAGCCTGCTTCTCCCTCTGCCTGTGTCTCTGCCTCTCTCTCTCTCTCTGTGTGACTATCATAAATTAAAAAAAAAAAAAAAAATCTTTAAAAAAATAATAAAATAAATATTTATATGGTGAAATGATATTTTTGATATATTGGGTAGTATAAAATGTATGAAAACTAATTTCACCTGTTGCTTTTGAATTTGTTTTTAACAAGACTAATAGAAAATTTTAAATTACTTATGTGGCTCTCATTATGTCTCTGTTGGACAGTACTAATCTAGATAGTTTGTAAAACACTGGAGGGAAATTCTCATCTGTTTGTGTACTTTTAGAATTAGGAGAGCCATGGGATTTGGCAGGAAGAGATGTATTATCAGGAAATGGTTCAAGTGATTATGGAGGGTGAGAAGTCCCAAGAGCTGTATTTGGTAAGCTGGAAACACAGGAGAGTCAGTGGTTTAGACCTGGTCCAAGTCTTTGGGAGAGCCAAAATTGTAAGTTCCAATCCAAAAGCCAGAAGGCTCTACACCAGAGAAGAGCCTACATTTCAGTTCAAATTCAAAGGCAGGTAGTAAAAAATGGCTTAGCTTAAAGCAATTAGTCAAGAGGAGTTTCTCCTTACTCTCACCCTTTTTGTTCTATTCAGACCTTCAGTTAATTGTATGAAGGTCACTCAAATGGGGAAACTCTGCTTTCCTTAGTGTACTGATTCAAATATTAATCTCATTCAAAAACACTCTCACACGGGAATCCCTGGGTGGCGCAGCGGTTTGGCGCCTGCCTTTGGCCCAGGGCGCGATCCTGGAGACCCGGGATCGAATCCCACATCGGGCTCCCGGTGCATGGAGCCTGCTTCTCCCTCTCCCTCTGCCTCTGTCTCTGCCTCTCTCTCTCTCTCTGTGACTATCATAAATAAATAAAAAATTAAAATAAATAAAAATTAAAATTAAAAAAAAAACACTCTCACACATTCAGAGTGGGTACCATGTGGCCTAGTAAAGTGGACACATAAAATGTAACCATCACTTGTTAACCTGGCACCCACATGTATCTCCTAAAATTATAACTTAATCTCCAAATAAAGACAATAACAAGGGCAGCCCAGGTGGCTCAGTGGTTTGGCGCCGCATTCGGCCCAGGGCCTGATCCTGGAGACCGGGGATCGAGTCCCACATCAGGCTCCCTGCATGGAGCCTGCTTCTCCCTCTGCCTGTGTCTCTACCTCTGTGTGTGTGTGTGTGTGTGTGTGTGTGTGTGTGTGTCTCGTGAATAAATAAAATCTTAAAAAAAAAAGACAATAACAAGGTCATAATTCTAACATGTTACAACTATCCTACATACAACTGAAAACACACTAACTCCTTCTCTGGAAAAGGAAATAAAGTCCTTAAGTAATGTTTACATTTCTCCTTGATCTCTCATAACTTAAATACTGTGATACAAAATCAATAGTACTTAAAAATTTTTTAAAATACTTTATTATTGGGATCCCTGGGTGGCGCAGCGCTTTAGCGCCTGCCTTTGGCCCAGGGCGTGATCCTGGAGACCCAGGATCGAATCCCACGTCGGGCTCCCGGTGCATGGAGCCTGCTTCTCCCTCTGCCTGTGTCTCTGCCTCTCTCTCTCTCTCTGTGTGTGACTATCATAAATGAATAAAAAAAAAATTAAAAAAAAAATAAATAAAATAAAATACTTTATTATTTATGAAAGACACAGAGAGAGGGGCAGAGACATAGGCAGAGGGAGGAGCGGGCTCCTTGCAGGGAGCCTGATGTGGGACTGGATTTTGATCCCCGGAGCTGGGATCACGTTTGAGCTGAAGGCAGATGCTCAACTGCTGAGCTACCCAGGTGTCCCTAAAATCAATAATACTTAAATAGAATGATATAGTATGATACAAAGTATGATCTTATTTATATAGTAAGGGAATAAGCGAAGAACAGAGATAAACCGACACACAGACCTACTCATAACAAAGCAAGGAAGAAATACTCATGATAGTTACAGTCCTCATTTCTGTAACCGGTCACCTGGTCAGAGCTGATATTTATAACTACCTTCTTCCACTACCCATCTGTATGCCTTATTCCTTTAGCAAACACTCTGCTAGTCATAGTTCTTTACCTGGTGTGGTAATGCAAATCTTCATTTTTGAAGGAATTGTGACCCATTAGACTAATATTCATTGAAATATTTTATATTGTACACATAAGCAGAATTTGGGAATTTTTTTTTTCACATTTTGCCCTGTGTCATATATTAGTATCTATCAGACATTTTTCTGTTGGTACTGTGCTTTGTCTGATACCATTATCCCTACATAGGAATTCATTCAAATTAATGCAACTTTATTTCATGGCTTTCTTTTTGGTTACCATATTCACAAAAATACAGTTCTACATGTGTGGAATAGGACTTAATTTACCAATTTGAGATGTTGTGTTGCTTGGGGTTTTTTTTATATCCATCGACAAGAAATATTTTTCTTTGTAGTCATGTGATTTTTATACTGTTAGTGCAGTTTTTCTGTATAGTGTATTATATTTATACAAATAATTTTTTCCCTTACCAAACCGCTTTAAAATTGTTTTCAGAGGGTGCCTGGCTGACTCAGTTGGAAGAGCATGCAATTCTTGATCTCAGGGTCATGAGTTTGAACCCCATATTGGGGACAGAGAATGAATGAATGAATGAATGAATACATACATACATACATACATACATATAGTTTTCAGTACATGCCTGATGAAACATAGTTAATTTTTTCTTAAAATATTTCTCTGCAGTATTTGGATATGTCTTATGTACCAGCAAATATGGTGAGTGACTTACCCAAGTGGTGTAACTAGAATCATTACCTATTTCCTCATCCAGTATCTTTCAGATAAAAGAAAAGGAAATTGGGCAGCCCAGATGGCTCAGTGGTTTAGTGCAGGCTTCAGCCCTCGGCCTGATCCTGGAGCCCTGGGATCGAGTCCCATGTCAGGCTCCCTGCATGGAGCCTGCTTCTCCCTCTGCCTACGTCTCTGCCTCTCTCTCTCTCTCTCTCTCTCTCTCTCTGTGTGTGTGTGTGTGTCTCTCATGAATAAATAAATAAAATCTTAAAAAAAAAAAAAGGAAAGGAAATAGATGACGTGCTAGAGTAATAGGATTTCTTTTCTTTTTTCTCTTTTGGCATTTTGTCTGGATTTTTTTTTTTTTTTACATATGCAAGAGAAAAATTCTGATTCGTGTTCTATTAATAAATTTTTTAAAAGGTTTTTTATTTATTTATTCATGATAGACAGAGAGAGAGAGAGAGAGGCAGAGACACAGGCAGAGGGAGAAGCAGGCTCCATGCAGGGAGCCTGATGTGGGACTTGATCCCCAGTCTCTAGGATCACACCCCGGGCTGGAGGTGGCACTAAACCACTAGGCCACTGGGGCTGCCCAATAAATTGTTTAGTAAACCCCAACTTGATTATTTTTCTCAATTTAGAAAGTGGTTTAATGGTAGCTAATTTATATGGTCATGTGTAGTTTTATATGTTTAAATGTTAATATGATTAGTTAGCTCTTTTTCTGCTTTTCAAATGTGGATTATACTATAAGTGACAGTTGGACATCCATAAGAATCTAGGATGTAATTATATTGAAGGCTGAGTTAACCTTTCTTGAATATGATGCCATTTCTTCGGTTTCAGTCCTATTAAAGCGCAGTTTTTAGGAGAACTGGTTTCAGAGACTGGTTATTTTATACTTCTTCTCTGATTTTCATACCCACATTCTGTTTTTCATTCCAGCACTTACAACCTTTTATTCTGTAATTCCTGTGGTGTTCCCATTGGTTTCCATTTGTATTCTACCCATGCTGCTCTGGCTGCCTTGAGAGGTCACTTTTGCCTTTCCAGTGATGAAATGGTATGGTGAGTAGACTTAAATATTCTTTATCAAATACATTTTTTAAAAAAAATCTATGCACGAAAGACAGAGAGAGAGAGTGAGAGAGGCAGAGACATAGGCAGAGGGAAAAGCAAACTCCACACAAGGAGCCCGATGTGGGACTCTGATCCCAGACCCCAGGTTTATACCCTGAGCCGAAGGCAAACTCTCAACTTCTGAGCCACCCAGGCATCCTTATCAATACATTTTATTTTTATTTTTTAAAGATTTTATTTATTTATTCATGGGATACACACACAGAGAGAGAGAGAGAGAGAGAGAGAGAGAGAGGCAGAGACACAGGCAGAGGGAGAAGCAGGCTCCATGCAGGGAGCCTGACGTAGGACTCGATCCCGGGACTCCAGGATCACACCCTGGGCCGAAGGCAGGCGCTAAACTGCTGAGCCACCCAGGCGTCCCTTCATTCATTCATTCATTCATTCATTTATAAGAATTTTTTTTTAAAGATTTTTATTTATTCATGAGAGACACAGAGAGAGAGAGACAGAGACAGAGACACAGGCAGAGGGAGAAGCAGACTCCATGACATGGGACTCGATCCCAGGTCTCCAGGATCAGGCCCTGAGCTGAAGGTGGCACTAAACCGCTGAGCCACCTGGGCTGCCCTCAAATACATTTTATTTTATTTTATTTTATTTTATTTTATTTTATTTTATTTTATATTTTATTTTATTTTATTTTATTTTATTTTATTTTATTTTATTTTATTTTATTTTTTTATACATTTTTATTTATTTATGATAGTCACAGACACAGAGAGAGAGAGGCAGAGAGACAGGCAGAGAGAGAGATACAGGCTCCATGCACCGGAGCCCGACGTGGGATTCGATCCCGGGTCTCCAGGATCGCACCCTGGGCCAAAGGCAGGCGGCAAACTGCTGCGCCACCCAGGGATCCCCCTCAAATACATTTTAAAAGAGCTTCTAGAAAAGGCAGAATACTTGTACCAAAAAAGTGCTACAGCAAGGCACTATTACTCAAAAAGAAGGTCAGTTGGGCCAAAATATAGTTCATGACATTATGCTCATTTTAGATGTCTTAGATGTTTTAATAAGCATACCATGGGATAAATGAGAGGGTGTTCTTTTGTTACAGAAATTTCTGGAACGTAGGTTTTTGCAAAATAATATTGTAATAGATACTGGGCTTGTGCCCAGCCCCTATTTTTTTTCCCCATAGAGTGGGACCTTGTGGCCATGTTTTTTATCATGTGTGATACTACTCCCAGGTGATGGGATCAAGAATGAATATTTGACCTAAGCTAAGCCAGTTAGGCTTTCTACTCTAGGAATTTGAAATAAGGACCCAGAGACACTGGTCACTTGTAGATGGTACTGGTCTCAAGTTGGGAAATGAAAGCTCTAGGTTTAAGGTAGCTATTTTCTGTATTATGCATGTAGATGCAGTGAAATCTTGTCTGCAGAAAAGAATAAAGCAGATAGATACCCCAAAAAAGTAAAAAATAATGACGTGGCCTAATAGATAATGTACTGTACTTCTTGTTCCTCTTATGTAGTACTTAGATATTTATCTTCCTACTACTACTGTCACTTGAGCTTTTTTGTTTTTTATTTTTTTATATTTTAAAAATTTTATCTATTTATTCATTAGAGCCACACACAGAGAGAGAGGGGCAGAGATACAGGCAGAGGGAGAAGCAGGCTCCATGCAGGGAGCCTGATGTGGGACTCGATCCCAGGACTTCAGGATCACACCCTGGGCCAAAGGCAGGCGCTAAACTGCTAAGCCACCCATGGATCCCCAGCTTTTTTCTTTTCTATGACAAACTGAAATATCTATCATAGTTTTTACTTGACCATTAAAAACAAAAACAGGGATTGATGACCTAGTTTGTGCCAAGCATTATTCTTACCTCACTGAGTCCTTTTTTTTTTTTTTAAAGATTTTATTTATTTATTCATGAGAGACACAGACAGAGAGAGGGGCAGAGACACAGGCAGAGAAGAAGCAGGCTCCATGCAGGGAGCCCGATGTGGGACTCGATCCTGGATCCCACGACCACAACCTGAGCCAAAGGCAGGCACCCAACCGCTGAGCCACCCAGGCATCCCTCACTGAGTCCTTTATATGAGAAAACTGGGACTCAGGTGGAGAGCTAAGATTTTCATCTGTGTCTTAACTCCAAAGCTCATTTTTGTTTCATTAAACATTTTCTCTAATGTGCTTAGATCAGTGTTTCTAGCTGAGCTATATATGACTAAATAATAAAACTCATAAATAACAATGGTCCTTTTTCATTCATAAGGTTGTTCAAAGTGTATTAGGTATACTCTTTGTTCTTCACTGCAATTTTTTCTTTCACTGCAGATTTTCAACAGGAAATGTACTTGAATGGGATTGATAATTTATCAATTTCTAATTTTCTCTTAAATAATTTCTAGAATTAAGTTTAAAGAGGGGAAAAATATTTTTTGTTTTTGAAATATAAAGTTTATTTTTAATTTAAATTCAATTAACATAATGTATTATTGGTTTCAGGGGTAGAATTTAGTGGTTCATCAGTTGCATCCATCACCCAGTTACCCCATCCCCCCACTCCCCTCTTCTCCAGCAACCCTTAGTTTGTTACCTATGATTAAGAGTTTCTTGGGAATCTCTGGGTGGCTCAGTTTTTTAGCGCCTGTCTTTGGCCCAGGGCGTGATCCCGGAGTCCCGGGATCGAGTCCCACGTCTGGCGCCCTGCATGGAGCCTGCTTCTCTCCCTGCCTGTGTCTCTGCCTCTATCTGTGTGTCTCATGAATAAATAAATAAAACCTTTAAAAAGAAGAAGAAGAAGAAGAAAACCTTACTGACAGTGGCTTCAATAAGTAAGGGGTGGAGTGATTGGCCACTCCAGGAGTCTTCTAGTGGCTCAGCCACAATTGGGCTCTGGATCAGCATCTCTGGTTCTCTTGGTCTTTTTCTCTTGGCTGCTGCTGCAAACATAAGCATTGCATCCATGGACAATAGCATCTCCAACCAGAAGGAAGCGGATATGGGAAGTGGGAACACAGGGAATGGTCTCTATTTTATCATCAGAAATGTCCTTATTATTGGCCAGAACTATGTAACATGATTGCCTTAAGGTAGGAAAGCAGATATGTGTCAGGAGGGAATAAGATTGCCACACTTGGTTTAGAACAGTTATGATTCATCTCCTGGGACTGAGCATACTCCTGTCCTAAACAAAATCTGGGTTCTGTTGCAAGAAAGAAGTTAGGAATGGCTACTGGGTAGGCAAACAACAGTGTTTGTTACCATATGATTACTTTTCTTCTAACTGCTATACAGTTTAGTTATTCATAGGACCCTTGTTTTTGTGTTTAGTTTGTTGTGGGATAATTTTGTCTTATGTATTCCCGGCTGGCAGGGGGAGGATGAGACGGTCTCTAATGATTTCTTAACTGAGAATTTGTTTTTCCTACAAAATGCAATACAGATGTTGAAACAAATCTGTAAGAAGGTTGTCTTTGCCTGACATTGCTTTAGAGGACAAGTTTGGTTCATTGATCATCTTAACTGATACTAATATTTTCTCTGTATATTTTCTATCCAGCTATCTCTTAAAAACAAAAGCCATAGTAAATGCATCTGAGATGGATATTGACAACTTGTCTCTACCAGAAAAGGTTGCAGAGGTAAAATTTCATGGTGGTTGTATGTTTAATATAGGCATACCTCAGAGATATTGTGGGTTCAGTTCCAGACCACTTCAATAAAACAAATACCATAATAAAAACAAGTCAAATTATTATTTTGGTTTCCCACCATATATAAAAGTTATGTTTACACTATACTGTAGTCTATTTAAGTGTCTAAAATAATGTACATACCTTAATTAAAAAATACTTCATTGCTAAAAAAGCTGACCATCGTCTGAGCTTTCAGAAAGTTGTAATTGTTGATTAGTGATCACTCTAATAAATATAATAATATTGAAAAGTTTGAAATATTCTGAGAGTTGCCAAAATGTTACAGAGCCATGAAGTGAGCAAATGCTATTGGAAAAACGATGCCAATAGACTTTCTCCCACAAGGTTGCCACAAACCTTCAGCTTATAGAAAACATGGATCTTTGTGATGAAGCAAAGCACAATAAAATGAGGTATGCCTGTATAGACAACTCCTGGCAGTTTATTCCAGTGAATTTGGTGGTGATGACATGGTGTAATACTCCAATAATCCTTTATACCTGGTTTGGCATTTCTTATTGAATTTGTGACACAAAGCCAAATATTGTAAGGTCCAGTTCAGGAGGAGGAAGAAAGCTGCTTAGATCCTGTATTTCCTATACTACGCTCCTCTGCTGGGAATGGATATTGGACCTTTCATAGATCTGTCCTTTTTTTCTCTCTTTTTTAAAGATTTTATTTTTACTTTTAAATTTTAAAAAAAGATTTTATATATTTATTCATGAGAGACACGGAGAGAGAGAGGCAGAGAGATATAGGCAGAAGGGAGCAGACTCCTTGCGGGGAGCTGGAAATGGTACTTGATCCCAGGATCCTGGGATCACGACCTGAGCCAAAGGCAGATGCTCAACCACTGAGCCACCCAGGTGCCCCTAAAGATTTTATTTTTAAATAATTGGCACCCAGCGTGGGGCTTGAATTTATAACCCCAAATCAAGAGTCACAGGCTCCTCCAAAGGAGCCAACTTGGTACCCCAGATCTGTCCTTTCCATAGCACTTCTTGTTTAGATGTCTCAGGAAAGAGTGGTGAAACAATCATTAGGAATTCTTATTTAAATGAGTTTTCTAGCTGTTGATGGTTTTGAAGTTGAAAAAAGCAACTTTGTTTCGGTAGCTTACTGATGCATTCTGAGTGGAAATTTGGCTATAACTTTACTTAAGCTCAGAAGACCAACCTGAGAATTTATCATTCATTTTGTTTTTAGTATTGTTAATATATTACTCCTTGCTAATTATACATTTTGTAACCGGTGGTGTTTTTTGTTTTTGTTTTTTTAAAGTTTAAGTATCTTTTAGGACAAGGAAAGAGTGATTTTTGAGGGTGTTGTTCTGCATAGCTAACTAAGCTTATGAAACCATGCTCTAAGCAAGGTGTTGGCAACTTTTTCTATAAAGGACCAGATGACAAATATTTTAAGCTTTGTGACCATTCTCAAGTGCTCAACTGTACCATTGTAGTACAGAAGCAGCCACAGTATTATAAACAAGTGGGTGTGGCTGTGTTGCAGCAAAACTTGATATAAATGGGCAGTCACAGTTAGCTAACCTTTGCTCTAAGCAACAAAGTTGATGAGAGGGGTCAGTAACTTTTCACTCCTGTGGGAGATAACTTCGGGAATGGCAGCCAGAGGAGCTCCATGGACCTCCTTCCCCCACCCCCAGCAAAACTTCCATAACTGAATAAAATTACAAAAAACCCCAACCATTTTAAGTCTGTAGGAAATGTTCTTCAAGGAATAAAGCAAATGAAGAGATACTTACTTTAGAAAATGTACTTAGGGCAGCCCAGGTAGCTCAGCAGTTTAGCGCCGCCTTCAGCCCAGGGCGTGATTCTGGGGTCCGGGATCGAGTCCCACATCGATCCCACATCGAGCCTGCTTCTCCCTCTGCCTGTGTCTCTGCCTCTCTCTCTCTCTCTCTCTCTGTGTGTGTGTGTGTGTGTGTCTCATGAATAAATAAATAAAATCTTAAAAAAAAAAACATATTTAACCTCAATAAGAACAGTGAAAGCCTGTGGTATTTGTGCCACAGCCTGCTCGCTCCCTCTCATACCTCTCTACCTTAGAGAGAGGGCAGGAGGCTCTATCTGGGCTGCTGTAGCCAAGAACACAGGGATCCTTTTTGCCGTAGCTCTCAGTTGAGGGCTGTGATATCTTCCAGGAGTGGCAGGCATCAGTAATTCTCATCAAAAGCTCTATTCCAGTCAAAAATGGCCATTTGTAGGTACAGGTTCTATCAAAGGCACAGCAAGCTAAGTATTAGGAACCCATTCACTCTTGCCCCAGCTTGCATGTAGAGCAGAGGTCTCACACTGGCCGAGGTAAGCCAAGAAGATGAGAAGTGGCATCTATACCCAGCACTCTGCTTGTAAAGTAAGGGTGTCATTCCAAGAGACACTGGCCCCTAGGTTGGGAGGAGCTGGGCTAAGAGGCAGATTGTAAAAACAGAACTCCAAAGTGCCCCCCTCCCCTACCACTCAAGGGAACTGACTTTATTTGAAACAAAGCTTGGGGACATTCAAGTCTAAGAGTACAGTCCAAAACGGACATTTTGAGGTAAGCAATTAAGAGGAAGCTGGTAGTTCCATGAGAGCAATAAGCTAAACCATAGATTAGTTAGAAGTTTACCAGATAGAATCAGAGAATACACAGCTAAGAAGAGCTCCCCTGGGATCAGAACAACAACAAAAAGACTGGCTACCAGTCTTTTAAAAGACTAACCTACAAAGGTGGGGCCTGAATTTAATTGGATTAGACTGATGAACAATTTATGTCCCAGGGCATTGTCAAAACCTGGAGAGCAATCAGCCCAGGAACTAGGGAAGGCTGGGGTATGATGCCAGCAGAGGCTGACAGCCTGACATTGACCAAGGCAACATTGAAAGACAGCTTGCTGAACCCACTGTCCTCTAGGTGACCGCACCTGCCCAAGGCTTTGTTCTCTGTGGACTGGCAGCATGGTCTCCTACGGTGGGGGAAGTAGATAGCAGTGAAATAGTCTAGCCAGCTCACTAAAACAGATAAATAAAGGACAATAAGAAGCTGAAGAGTGGGTGTTTAGTATCCACAGTTGGCTATATTACTTAAAATGTCCAGTTTGTGGGGCACCTTGGCTGGCTCAGTTGGTGGAGTGTGTGACTGTTGATCTCTGGCTTGTGAGCTCGAGCCCCATGTTGGGTGTGGAGATTACTGAAAAAAAAATCTAAAAAAAAAAAGATGTCCAGTTTGCAACAAAAAAACGAGAAAACACTCAAAGAAGAAAGTATAACTTATAAATAGGATAAAAAGCAGGCATCTAAAACTGCCTAGGAAAGGGCCCAGATGTTAGACTTAGCAGACAAAGCCTTTGAAGCAGCCACTATAAATGTCCAAAAAACTAAAGGAAACTGCTTAAAGAAGTCAAGGAAGGTATGATGACAATATCTCATCAAATAGAGGATATCCCCAAAGAGTTAGAAATAGGTTGGAAATCCTGGAGTTGAAAAGTACAATAACAACAACAAAAAAAGGTACAATAACTAAAATAACAAACTCACTAGAGGGGCCCAAGAACAGATTTGAGCTGCCCAAAGAATCAGCAAATTGAAGACAAATTGATGAGACTGAAGGGAAAAAATGCAGGAAAGTGAACTGAAGAGACCTCTTCGACACGATCAGGCATACCTAAACATTTTTTGGTAAAGAGAATAAATACCAAAAGGAGTACAGAGAAGTAGAAAAGATATTCAAAGAAATAATAGTAGAAAAATCCCCAAATTTGATGAAAAACCTGAATTTACATATCCAAAACCTCAATAAGTCCACATAGGATAAACACAGAAGAGATAATACCCCAATACATCATAGTAAAAATGAGGAGAGTAAACAATCTTGAAGGCAACAGAGAAATGATTCACCACATCCAATGGTACTGCAATTAGACTGGGAGGCTCTAGGGATGCCAGGGTGGCTCAGCAGTTGAGCATCTGCCTTTGGTTCAGGGTGTGGTCCCAGGGTCCTAGTATCGAGTCCCACATTGGGCTCCCTGCTTGGAGCTGGCTTCTCCCTCTGACTGTCTCTGCCTCTCTCTCTCTCTCTCTCTCTCTTTATCTCTGATGAATAAATAAATAAAATCTAAAAAAAGGGGGGGGGCTCTAGAGTTACTTCTTTAATTTAAGCAGCATTTTTTTTTTAAGATTTTATTTATTTATTCATGAGAGACAGAGAGGCAGAGACTTAGGCAGAGAGAGATGCAGGCTCAATGCTGGGAGTCCGGTGTGGGACTCAGTCCCAGCACTCGAGGATCATGCCCTGAACCAAAGGCAGAAGCTCAACTGCTGAGCCACTCAGGCGTCCCTAAGCAGCATTTCCTAATGAATTTGGATTATTCTTGTGTCTTAAATGATAATATAAAGCATATTTTATGGATGGTGCAAATTATGTTCAAATTATGGTTTGTTTGTTGTTGATGGTGTTGTTAACCCGTCTTCAACAGAAGGTTGTTATCCATAATTCTGTATTCCAGGATAACTTTATTTACTAAGCTGAATAATACCATTAAGTTTGGTTCCTGATAGAGCTATTCTTAGGTGAAAGAACTTGTCAAAAATAACCTAATTACCACAAACACAAGTACCTAACCCAACAACCAGGGCTACTTTTGAAGACAGGCATTTGTTACTGTGAACAAAGAAAAAAAAGTTAGATTCTTGCCCCTAGAAAAGGAGAGGAAGAGTAGTTGAGGCTCTTCTCCACAAGCTTTCTTACCCCACCTTCTTCTTGTCTTCCTTCCTTCCCAGTATTTGGCACTTAAACCTGGCGATAAGGGGTAGGAAGGAGGGAGGAGGAGAAGCAGTGATGCTCAGCAGTGGCTGGTCTTTTTTTCACATGAAACTTTGTATCTGAGGATCTTACTGCGCACTTGAGGTTTGTTGCATAAAGTTCTTTCAGAAATAGGGCAGCCCTGGTGGTTTAGCGGTTTAGTGCCGCCTTCAGCCTAGGGCGTGATCCTGGAGACCAGGGATTGAGTCCCACGTCGGGCTCCCTGCATGGAGCCTGCTTCTCCCTCTGCCTGTGTTTCTGCCTCTCTCTCTCTCTAATAAATAAATAAAATCTAAAAAAAAAAAAAAAGAAAGAAAGAAATAGGACAAGCATATTTATGTAATGTGTTGAGACATTACCAGCTATCAACCACTGGTTTAAATTTGAAGTGGCTTCTAAAATCATCAAAATAAGTATTAAGCTCAAGATGCCCTGATACTGATTTATTTTTCTTCCCAGCTGAAAGAGAAGATAATGTTAACACATACTCGTTTATATTCACTGATGAAGATTCTGAAGGAAGGAACTCCTGACCAGCCCAAGCCAGAAAACTGATCCAGGATTAAAGCTTAACTAGGTTCAGGTCTTATTGCTGTCTTCATCAACAGGAGTTCTCAAGGAAGAAAGATTGGCTAAGAAGAGATGTGAACTCTATTCTCACCTTGAGGCTGATTTTCCAAATGATTTGTGAAGCTTTGTCTAGAAAATGAGAAACAAAGGAAACCCCTACCCAGGTTTCATAGCTATTTGCCTTAAGAACTTATTTTAGCTTATCAATTTCATAAATGTTTGTTTCTGAATACATATTTTACTGCAAATGTAGGTTAAGAGGCAGTGTCCTGCAAATGGTCTGATATAAAGATGCACGGCTGTTATGAAAACAGAGTTGTATTTCATGTTGACTACTTTATTCCTACATGGAGCAGTTGTGATAATGAAGACAGAAAACATTTTCTTTCTTACATGCAATATAGGTACAAACATACTCTGTAGGTAATATTCAGTAAGTTAACTGGAAAATATACAATTTATCTTTCTCTTTTTATTTCTAAACTGAGCCTACCCAGGTAATAATGAGAGAAATGATAAAACATTCACCAAAATGCTGTTTTTTTCATATTTTGCTTTATATACCACTTACACTCAGTACCTTGTCATATTATTCATTTAATAAAAGTCTACTAACTTTGGGGATAAAAGGTAAGCAAAAAGAGCCACTCTCTATCTGCACAGAGCTTTTAATCTCATTAGAGGTGGACGTTTAAATAACCACATGAATACATGTGAAATTATTACTATAGTAAAGGTTTTGAAGAAAAGAGACCTAGAGCTACCAGCACATGAAGCAGCTACCGGACCCCTGGGGTTGGAAAGGCTGCTCTGAGGAAGTGGGATTTCAGCAGTGGTCTGAAAGACTAGGAGTTAATTAGGGAATGGAGGGGGACCCATGGAGAAGCCCTTAAAAGAAGGCCTGCAGGAGGTGAACTAGTGGCCAGAAACCAGAGGGTACAAGGACTTATTGGATGATGTTGTTGTTGAAGATTTTATCGATTTATTCATGAGAGACATAGACACAGGCAGAGGGAGAAGCAGGCTCCCTATGTGGAGCTGGATGCAGGACTCCATCTGGGACCCCCCAGATCACACCCTGAGCTGAAGGCAGATGCTCCTCTGCTGAGCCATTCAGATGCCCCCCTGGATGTTTGTTTTTATCCCAAGAACAATGGAAGCCTTGGTTTCACTTTTGTAGAACCTTGCTATGGTTAGTGTCTTGTGGAGAAGGGGTTTATAGGGGCAGAAAAGCAAGCAGACTACTGAGGGGCTGGCAAGAGCCCAATCCAGACAAGAAACAGCCAAGTGGTGGTGTCTAGAAAAGTTGACTTGGTTCAGATGTAGCTGGCAGCCATTTTTAAAGTTCTTTCCATTCTTTCTACTTTATATTGCATAAAGCCATTTCCCTTTAAAAATATTTTAAACAAGAAAATTCTGATTTGCTCTATGCTTTTGAGTTGCAAAATTTGATTCCATAAATAAGGGTGAAATCTTTGGCAACAACTAGTACCAGAGGGAACCTGAGTGGCTCAGTGGTTAAGTGTCTCCCTTCGACTCGGGTGATCTCAGGGTCCTGGGATCGAGTCCTGCATCGGGCTCCCTATAGGGAGCCTGCTTCTCCCTCTGCCTATGTCTCTGTTTCTGTGTCTATCATGAATAAATAAATAAATAAAATCTTAAAAAGAAAAAAATACTAGAAAAACGCGTATTTTCTAAATGGACCTAATAAATCAATACTATATTAAATCATCCTGGGATTTTTTTTTGTGTGGGTATGTTCTTATGTAGCTATTTTTCGTAACCTCTGGACTTGCTGATTTGGCAGAGTTCAATAGAAAATTACATGCTTGACATGTGCCTTTGGCTCAGGTCATGATCTCAGGGTCCTGGGATTGAGCCCCATCTCCGGCTCCCTGCTCAGCTGGGAGCCTGCTTTTCCCTCTCCCCGCTGCTCATGCTTTCTCTGGCATGCTCTCTCTCAAATCTAAAAAAAAAAAAAAAAAAAAAGTAAATGTTTAAACTTAACATCAAATTAAGCTGGCTGGCTTTAGATATTTTCCCCCTAAATACAAATTACAGTAATGCTTACTATAGAAAAAAAATGCAGATATAAATAGAAAATAAAGGGTGCAAAGTACACTTCCCTTTCCATCTTTGAGAGGCTTAGGATAGCATGCTGGGAAGCTCTAGAGCCAAATTATTTATATTCACATTGTGTTTTGGATCTTACTAGCCATGAACATGAAGAATTTACTTCAACACTTCTTGTAAAATAGGGATTAAAACTAGGGCTGGTTTTGGGGTGCCTGGGTGGCTCAGTTGGTTAAGCATCTCCCTTCAGCTCAGGTAGGTCATGATTTCAAGGTCCTGGGATCGAGCCCTACATTGCATCAGGCTTCTTGCTTTGCTTTCTGGCTCTGTCAAATAAATAAAATCTTAAAAAACAAAACAAAAAACTAGGGTTGGTTTTTTCCTTTTGGGGAGGACGGCATCCACAGGCATTCAGAATGGTCCCAGCATTTGACATACTATCAAAGGCTGTCCTACAATACAGCCTCCAACAAAACTAGGCTGGTGATAGAATCACCCTGGTGATAGAATCGTTTACCTTTATACCAGGAAGATTGGGAAAGCCCCCAAATTCACATGTAGCATGTGCCTAGGCTGACTTTAAGAAGTACATGCTGTGAGACCTGCAATTCTTATTAGGTTCTCTACAATGAGAAAATGTGTCAGCAGGGCCTAGGGTGGCGGTTCCATGTGTGTGTTCATGATGGGATCAAGTATGCTTTCCTTATTGAAGAGCAGAATATCATTGTGAAAGTGTTGAAAGCACAAGCACAGCGTCAGAAAGCTAAATTAAAAACTGAAGCTTGGGGCAGCCCGGGTGGCTCAGCGGTTTAGCGCTGCCTTCAGCCCACGGCCAGATTCTGGAGACTTGGGATCGAGTCCCATGTCAGGCTCCCTGCATGGAGCCTGCTTCTCCCTCTGCCTTTGTCTCTGCCTCTGTGTCTCTCATGAATAAATCTTTTTTTAAAAAATGAAGCTTTTTTGAGAAATTCAGGCTTATTCTGTTTAAAAGAAAAAAAAAAAAAGCCAGGGGTGCCTGGTTGGCTTAGAAGACCATGTGATTCTTGATCTCCAGCCCCCACAATGACTGAAGGGATTACTTAAATAAATCTTTAAAAAACAGCGAGGGCTGTAGTGAAGATTCAATAAATTAAGAAATACATCTAATGTAATTACAGCAGTGCTTAGCACATACTAGGTGCTCAAAAGATATCTTTATGCATGTGGATGTTCATGTATTAGACATAAAACAAAGCTTTATCTTTCAGTATTCTGCAACCTGCTTTTCACACAATAAATATCACAACTTTCCACACCAGCCCATATGCAAACTATTTTATTTAAGACCTGTATGATTCAGTGATGTGAATGTATCCAAACCTAACCATTCTTGTATTTGACCCTTGTACCTATCTTTGCAAATCTGTACTGGTATTTCTGTAAGAGTGAGTCCTAAAGTGGGAAAGTCAAAGGCATGTATGTGCATTTACAGTCTTGATTTTATGTCTCCCATAAATGTTACACTGATATTCTAAATGGTGGGCTTTTTAATTCCCCTTTTAAAGGACTCTTTGGGTGGTATAAGAGTTCCTATGAGGGACGCCTAGGTGGCTCAACGGTGGAGTGCTTGCTTTCATACCCAGGGTGTGATCCTGGTGTCCTGGGGTTGAGTCCCACATCGGGCCCCCTGCATGGAGCCTGCCTCTCTCTCTGTCTCCCACGAATAAATAAAATCTTAAAAAAAAAAAAAAGTTCCTATGAAAGTCTAACAAACATCAATGATTTATATTAAGATACTGTCTACTTTGCTTCAATGTGAAACCATTTAGCATTGTATATATGTTGAATACAGTATTTTCAAAATTCTGTAGTCATAAGAATAAAACTGCATATTGAAATTCCTGAGTTGTAAACTTTTAAGCTCCTGAGTTAACAGTAAAGACTATCTCCATTTTTGTAACCCTAACATCTAGCACAGTACCTGGGATTGGAGTATATCAGTGTGTGCTAAATGAATGGTCATAAATCACAGGGAGAACTATTAGATTAGTGATTATACCACAAAAATGACGTAGCTTAGCTTCTTCTCCATTTGAGGATAGCCAATCCCAAGGAAGTTTAGAAGATCTGTTTGTTTTTTTTTTTTTTTTAAGTAGGTTCCACCCCCAGAGTGGAGCTTACTCACAACCCTGAGATCAAGACCTGAGCTGAAATCAAGTGTCAGATGCTTAACTGACTCAGCCGCACAGGCTACCACCCAAGGATCTCCGTGTTAATAAGCCTCTTTAATTAATTTAGCTAATATTTAAATATTCAATGTAAAAGCATTTAAAATGCTTTATATTATTTCAGATAGGAAGGATTCCCTGCAGTGGTTTTATTAGTACTATTACTGTACTTAGCTATTTCCTTACCAGAAACTAAACATTTTGCTAATTACCTAGCATAAGGTTGGCTCTAAAGGTGGGAATACCTAAGTTTAAATGGAATGCCTCTTTGTTCAGATGGCTGCCAGTTTCCTTGGACTACAGCAGAAACTGCTACAACTTGGTATCAACACCCAAATCTTTGGTCTTTTCTGCTATCTGGAGCCTACCTCAGTCCAGGTCTCTGCCTTGGCTCTTCCCATCTCAGTAACTTACTGCATGATTAGAAATTACCCAATCCAAGTAATGAGTAACACAGTGAAGTTTCAGTGCATTCTCAGCCCATGCTGCTTTATTGCCAAAAAAAAATATATATATATATATGTATGTAAATATACACACACACACACAGGTGCAGAGTTTCCAACTTGTACAGCAGTCCCCTTTTACATCAAAGAATAAAATTTCTGAAATCCCAAGGATGCATAGATTAAAAAGCTGCCTTTTGTAATACTTATAAACATTCAATGAAATTCTTTTTAACATTATGTACCAATGGTGTAGTGAAAAAATGCAGAACAGCAAGTACAAACAGCAACAACTGTACTTATAGGACAATAAATAAAAACAGGTGAATCACACTGTGACTCTGTAAGCGATGAGTGTTTTTTTTTTTTTTTTCCCCCTCGATGGGTGGTTTTAAGGGAAGTGCCAAGACTATCACTGTTAAGGACTGGTGATAATGTATTACTCAGAATACCATTCTTACCCCTGGAAAGAGGAAAATTGATGGCATGGCAAACTATCACCAAAGGAGATAAAACCTTTTGAAAATTGTCAGTAACCTTATAATTCTTTTGATTTTAAAGGAGGTTGAGAAATAAAAATTCCTAGAGAAATCTGTGATGTTTGTTTGGTATTTAAACTATATGCTTTTGTGGAATAATGGGAACAGAGAGAAACTCTTATTCTATCTTTACTGGTTTCATTAGTTGGCGGATGTAATCAGTAAGTGAGAAAATTCACGTATGAGATACAGTATTTTACTTCCTGTACTTAAGTGGAGTCTAAACACTGCAATGACTGTAAGTCTACTTCAGTTCTGAACTACTGGAAAGTTACCATTTACACTTAAAACAGTCCCAAAGGTGTTTGGAGTGAAATCCTACAGCAAAGAAAACAAGTTAAAATGACTTTTAAAATTTTATTTTTCGGGACGCCTGGGTGGCTCAGGGTGTGATCCCAGAGTTCTGGCATCAAGTCCCTCATCAGGCTCCCCGTGGGAAGCCTGCTTCTCCCTCTGCCTTTGTTTGTGTCTCTCAAAAAAAATTATTTTTCAATCACGTAACATAAAACCTGGGAGGGGCCTAGTGAGAATCATCTAGTCTAACTCTGAATTCTCTTCTGTTTAGGCCACTCATGTAGGAATTCCATTTGTACACTATTTGTCATGATCATTTGTACTTAAAAGGGTTATTTCAAAGTCAGGAATCTTCTCAAAAATTTTAAGCTACTACAATAAACTGATCTATTTTCTTCATCAAGTAAAATAAATGGCATTTTTTTCAAAATGGGAAAACCTGCTTCTGTTTACCTGGCATTAAAAGCTTTAGGCAACAAATTACACAGTCTGAGTAAAATATCATGGATAAAGCCCTGGCTATAAGATTTAAAAACACAAAACATTTATATGATACAGTAACAAAAGAGAATCCAAACTACAGACTTGTATTTTTAGCAGTTTCCAAAAAATAATGCAGTCTCCTTTGCTGTGGGGAACGAACTTTATGGCTGGTCGGTACCAGTACCATCTAGAAGAGTTGGCTGGTTATCTGAAAATCCTGGAATATCAGAAATAATGTCCATATTGTTTCCATTCATTTCCAAGACACTAGTTTTAAGAGATCCAAACATGATAAATTTTATCAGACAAACCCCATACTTAGTTATTTTATATACTCTTCACTGGTAATTCCCTACTTTCCTACCTCTTCTGAAACTCTGCACCTTTCTGATTATTATAGCCATAGCAGCTTATTTATTTATTCAACATGCTTAGTTTGTGCCTTTGTTTTGTTTTCAAACATGCTAGGGGAATAAGGGAACCAGGCAAGAGGTTAGAGGGTGAGCACTGTCATGTTCTCTATTCCTGACAGTTTGAATGTCTTGTGGTTGCCCCTTTTATCTTCTAGCTCCCATTCAATGGAAGTTAAGATAATCTTTAATTAGAAAATGAAAACTAATAATCCAAACAGTAAATTCAGGCTATTGGTTTAAGTCTCTATTGCTTCATTAATAAACGTGTATATATAC